TTTTCCTTCAAACTTCTATAGAAAAGCGACCACACAGAGAGTAGAGATTCCCGCTCTTCATGAAACCCTTAAGGAGCTTTCTAAGCGTTACGGAAAGACTTCTTTCCATGTCATGATGTCTATTCTCGGAAATGTTTTTAAGCAAATACACGGAAGACCAATGGCCATAGCTTTTCCCCAAAACTTGAGAAGAACGAAAGATGAAAATGTCGTCGACTTAGCTATTAACGTTCCTATTATCATATCAGATGTAACAGGAAAAGCACATTTAGATATTAAAGACACGTCCAATAAAATTCTTGAAGCAATGGAGCATAGTTTTATCAGTTTCGATGATTTGCAAACAATTTCCCAGAAAAGTCATTTATATGACTTTATGCTGATGTATGATAACTATTCCAAGTACTCTAACACTTTGATGAGTTGTGAAGCGATCGAAGAGAAGTATGTGAAATGTCCATTAACACTTCAAGTGGACAGTTTTGAGGTTGATGAATTGATTTTGGTATATGCCCATAGCATAATCTCCTCTGACTACTTGGCTAATTTCATCAGAATTTTCAAAGAGACTCTATCTAATTGGAAAAAGTTGCAAGTAAGACATGATTCGTATGACTTGTCATATCAGCAAAAGCAAATGCTTTTCTTATCCAAAACAAAGCAGAAGAACTCCTTTGCACTCTCGTTTATTTTGAAACTTTCTAGTGCATCTGATACTCATCACATTCATAAACGACTAATGCAGATTATCCAGATTAATCAGCAGTTTCGAACTATTTTTTCTCATTCGAAGTCTTCCATTTATCAAACTCAACTGTCTGCAACAGAAGTCTTTCTATGTCATCAAACAATTAAAACTCGGAACATAAAGTTTTTCATTGAAAACTTTCAGAACTCGGAAACCGTGACCCCACGCAATCCCATTTGTTGTCTTTTCTTAGAATTCGATGAGGTTATCTATGCGTATTTGGTCCTTCATCACATAATATCAGATGGATGGACAACGAAACTCTTGGAAAAAGACCTCATCTGTTCTTCCTTACCAAACCACCAGAAACTTTCTTACATCGATTACATAACTTCTGATAAATACAAGATTCCATCCGAGCAGATTCCTGATTCTCAAATCACAAGAATACTCTCAACTGAAAATATTTTTGGAACACATAAAGAAAGTGATGAAAATCGGGTTCAGAAACTTGTCAAGTTCCAAGGTAATTCAGGAGCCTCTCCGTTCGTGGTTTGTCTCCGAGCTGTCAGTTCAGCGATAGCCCGTATATATGGCAAAAGTGTAATCAACGTTGGCTTTCCCCATTTGAACCGTACAAAGGAAACTGAAGATATCTATGGATGCTTTTTAGTTAATCATGTGATCAATCTACATGAGTCGTATACTTTGCGAGAAATTGAAGAAAAAGTAGTTGAAACACTAAAGAACAACTACTCTTACATGGAACTTCACAAACAGACTAAAGGTAAAGTCTGCGAAATTTTTCTAAACTTTCGTTATGATTTGGAAGAGAAACAGGAAGGATTGGAGGACCTATTACCCATTCAAACGCAATTTCCACTGGAAATCGATGTCGACAAGTATGAAGATAGAGATTTGATTGTTCTTAGATCTTCTAAGCTCGGGATAAATGAGTTACAAAAGCTGATCGAGCAAATAGTGGATGAAATTCAGAAAGAGCTTCCTGATCAAGAATTACAGAAAAGAGTTGAACAGGCAGCAGAAGAAATAGATGATACAAGAGTTGCTTCAGTTCTCCGAATAGCTGCAAGATGCTTGGGTATTGAAAGAAAAATTAGAGCATCTGATAGTTTTTATGAACTTGGAGGAAATTCATTAAGCTTCATTCAGTTCCTTGACCAGATGGAAGAGGAGTTCAGGACTGAGTTAAACTATGAGAAGATCCGTTTAGCTCACAATTTCCAGGAAATTTCTGAGTTAATATTTCCGAAAAAAGAGAAAACTACTAAAAAAGAAGATTTTCCTTTATTTACTTCAGCTCAAACCGTTCTGAACAATTTTCACTCTTATCCATCTCGACCAGCATTCATCACAAGCGACGGCAAGTCTTGGTGCTATGGCGAAGTGGAAAAAGCAGTTTTTTCCATTTACAAGCAATTAAACAAGCATTTTATTGAGACAACAGGCCAAGGTATACGTAATGACGATATCATTCCCATTATTTCAAGGAACTCTATGGAAGTTCACCTGTGGATTCTGGCAGTTCAGTTGACAGGAGCATCCTACCTGCCCATCTTGGAAGACGTGCCGGTGAAAAGAATAAATAAGATTCTATCGAGAATCCCAAGCCTCTCTTTGTATCTTGGAAAAGAAAACAAAGAAATCCATCTTAAACCATTAACGTTGAATCATGATCCTCATGGAAGCTTCAGAGTTTTCAATAAGAATGAATATTACGATTTGAGTTACATCATCTACACCTCTGGAACTACTGGAGAACCGAAAGGAGTGTGCATCCAACAGAAGTCTTTGATTCATATGATGAATGGAAGCACCAAGGTTTTTCTTTTTTCGTTTCTCTTCATTCTTAGAATCATATTCATTTGCAGAATTTTTGGTTGAACCCTCGAGATTGCATCTTGCAAGCAACTCTGTTTGTTTACGATAACAGTATTTTGGAAAGCTGGATGACAAGCTGTAATGGAGGATGCTTAGCGTTACCTTCAATACCTTGCACTCCGAAACAAATTCATTTATTTATTTTAAAGCACAAAATCACAATTTGCCTTCTGTTTCCTGCTTTCGTTTCCATTTTGAGAGAGGAAACTCTGCGACTCTTCAAGCATTTGCGTTACTGGATTGTTGGAGCAGAAAAATTGCCGGAAAGCCTTTTAAGAAAGGCGCTTGACTACGATATTCATACAATTCAAAACTATGGGCCAACTGAAACGACAGCATATGCTTTAAGCCGTTTAATGAGACGCAAAGATAATCCTCAGAATCTAGGAAAAGTAATTCAAAACTGCAAATACTGGATTGATGACGACGGAATTTTGTTTTTGTCAGGAGAGGGTTTGATGCGTGGATATCTGAACGTTCAGAAATCTCCTTTTCTAGTACAGAAAAACTATAAGTTTTACAAAACTGGAGATGTCGTAGTGGAACAGAATGAGAACATCATATTCGTTGGTCGGAAGGACAATCAAGTAAAGATTCGTGGTCATCGCGTTGAACTGTCTGAAATTGAAACAGTTCTAACACAGCACCAACTTATAAACCAAGCAAAGTTAATTTGGAATGGTAAAGATGAAATCTTGGAAGCGTTCTGCCAAACTGCCGTCTCGCCGAATGATGTCATGATGTACTGCAAAGAAAATTTGCCTTCTCATATGATTCCAACTGAAATCAGCTGTCTCGAGCAACTTCCTCTAACCAATAACCTTAAAATAGATGTTGAAGCGTTGAAAGGTCGCAACAAACAACAGAGCTCAAAGCCACATTTTCTAGAGGCAGTAAAGCGCGAAGGATTTACCAGCTTCGATGTATCTTTTCTTCAGAATGGTGGATACACTTTGAAAGCATTAGAGTTGATAGAACAATGTCAAAACTGTCCGAAGCTTGAGCATCTTTTATCCGATATTCCGCTCAAAGATATATACGAAAAGAGAAAAACAAGAAATACGGAGACAGCGTTTGATTTGCGAGCTGTATGGTCTGAGGTGTTAGGACATCAGATGTTCAAAGAGAGTTCAGACTTTTTCGAGGTTGGAGGTAATTCTGTTCTTTTAATGAGAATGGCTAACGTCATTCAAGAAGAATTTGAATTCATAGAAGTTGACGATTTGTTAAATAATTTAGTTTTCCACCAGATGACTAAGATACTAAGGAAAGAAAAAAGCAACGAAAGAGCTAATACAAGTTTAGTACAGAATGGAGAAACTACTGAGAAGACATTGGTCTTCTACCATCCCTTATATGGCGGTTCTCATATCTATAAGTATATCATCAATATATTAATGAGATATATTAAGAATATTCAAATAATTTGTGTCGAACATCCTAATTCTTTCAAAATTCAAACAACGGAAGCAAGCTATTTCAATAACTTGACTGATTTATGCTATAACTACTATAAGAGTATCAAACATGATCTGAAAGGAGAAGTCTATCTCATTGGAGCATCTTTGGGAGGAACACTAGCATACATATCATCACAATTCATCCAGAATAGCACCGTCTTAATGATCGATTCAACTTCAGCAACCAGTCAATGCTATTCTTTCCAGCAACACTTATCGGTATGTTGATCTTCTACTTCCTTGTCAGATTCCGTTGTTCATTTCAGTCAGTTCGGCAGTATGTGAGTGATCCATCCATAAGTTCATTTCATTACATCCTCTTGAATTCATGGGATTTAATGAAAATGATTTTGAGTCATCAGCACACTCGAATAGCTTCAAACAAACCTGTTTATCAGTTATCGATTGATGGAACTGATTTAGGATGGAAAAAGTGAGTTTGGAAAAGAGTCAACCGTTCTTAGCGCCAACATAAAAGTGAGAACAGAGGGTGTGAGAACGTTTATACGCGTATGATCTACGTGACACGTTTTCATAAGTTTAAAAGTCTCGTCGTGAGCCTGTTTACAAGGAATAGAGTCTTTAAATAGAAACTTTTAGTTGAAATAGCAATGAGAGAGAGTGGAATAAGTTTTCAATCAATCAATATGCAAATTAAATTAGAATAAGCGTTAAGTTGTATATGTAAATGAATGTTACAGGATTTGCTGTGAGGTGAAAGTAATTCAAATATCCGGCAATCATTCAACCATGTTAAATCTTATAAATAGTATTGAATTATTTGAAAAACTGAAAGAAATATTGAAGTGATCATGTCTGTCTTATCTTTTTTGTATTTTTATCATAAAAGCTTACGTGTCTTTAAATATAAAGATGTATGTGAATATATATATATGTATATGTTTAATGATAGTATTTATAGAAATATATAACCTTAATATATATAAATTATGACAACCAAATACAAAGTCAGGCAAAACGATGAAGCTTCTGATGAAGTAGCCACATCATCATCTCCAAATATTCAATCTATTTCTATTCAATGGGCTGATTCAGATTCTACTCCATCTATCAGCAGTCAATTAATTGATGAAAAAAGCATAGTTAACTCAAAAGATCCTTATTATGCTGTTTATTTTATATTTCTGTTACATGGAGTAGGAATGCTCATGTCATGGAATATGTTCATTACGATTGCTCCACAGGTTTAGTTCTCATCAGATCTCATTACATCTCACCATATATCTCTATCATTTACAGTATTATCGTGATTATTGGTTTTCATTCAACTGCACAGGCAAGGATCCTGTTAACTGTACAGAAACACATTATGCTACAAGTTTTATGAGTGTCATTGGTGTTACCTCTCAAGTACCTAATGTTGGAATTATGTTTTTCAACGCTGCCTTGGCATATCTGTGAGTTATTCACACAATTTTCATTTTTTCTCACTACAAATCAGACTATCTATAACTAAATTTGTATTCACCCTTTTAGAGGATCACTGATGATCCGGATTGTCGTTCCGTTGTTTGTCAACTGTGCACTTGTTGGCGTCATCATCGTGTTTGTTATTTTTTCGCAGCCTGGTCCTAATGGAGAAAGTAGGGGATAGTTTGGCTTTTCAACAGAAATCTGTGTATTACAGACATGCAATGGTTTTATATTGTAACATTGGTGATAATTATGCTAATGAACTTAGCCAATGGGATATATCAAAGCTCTGTATATGGAATCTGCGCTGATTTTCCTGACAATTATATAAATGCTCTAATTATTGGAAATAATCTATGCGGTATTTTCACGAGCTTAATGAGTATTGCTACAACTTTGAGTAAGCTTAACTACTGTAACGAAGTTATTACAAAATTTCCATTTCAGTCTCTCCTGACGACATTGAGCTGAACGCTCTTTTGTATTTCGCCATCTCACTGGGAATTCTCGTTTGTTGTCTCATATCTCTCTACATTCTTGTTAGAATTGTATTTGAAAAGCAAAAATTCGAATTTTAAAAAGCGAATTTTGCAGCCTTTCTACAAAGAATATATGAAGCTTGGAGAGGAGAACCGCAAAACAGAAGACGCTGATAATCTCTCTCTAGCTCAGTATTGGGATTGTTTGAAACATGTAAGCTCAGTGATCTTCGTAATAGGCGAAAACAGTCGAATATTTTAGTGTTGGGTTCAACTTTTCAACAATTTCTTCGTTTATTTCATATCTTTAACTGTTTTCCCAGCAATGATGACAGATACACCTTTCTATGTTCCACCTGGAACGAACAAGCATTCGGTGTTTCCTGGTTAGGTCATCTTCCATCTGCTATCGAATACGAATTCTATCTTAGATAACCTTTACTTTGCCATCAATACTTTTTTGAATTTCAACGTTTTTGCATTTGTTGGATCAACTATAGCTAATTACATTCAATTCGTGAGTCTTATAAGGAGTGATCAAATGAAAAAGCTGAATAATGTATTACAGCCTTCACCGCGCTGGCTGTTTGTGCCGAATCTGTTAAGAGTTGTGTTCATTCCATTCTTTATGTATTGCAATTACTTACCTGACACCAGAAAACATAAGGTGTGTTTGAAATATCAATGATCACAACCGCTTTCTCATTCAAAGGTTTTCTTTGAAAGCGAATGGTGGTCCTTCTTTGGATGTACAATCATGGCATTAACATGCGGATACTTGAGTAGCTTAGCTCTCATCTATACTCCCAGTGTTGTACCTCCTAAGTATCAGAAGATAAGTGGAATGATGGCATCAATAGCCTTGATGTTAGGTGAGAAAAAAAAATTTTTCGAATTCATTTTTAAACTTTTTCTTGAAGGAATTCTGGCTGGTGTTTCGTTCACACCTGTTATCAGTTCTATAACGAGGAATTGGTGAAAATCGTCTTTTTGAGGGATAAATGCTAAACACATTGTTAATCCTTTGATAAAGAGACCAAATAGTATAAGCCTTTCTACAAAGTTGAACAAAAAAAGTCAAATTCCATTTAAGCGTGATACGGGTTTTAAAGGTGTTGCAGATGCTGGCCCACCCCAAACAGCATTTTTTCGAAAACGAAAAAATAATGGGACAGAGGACAACATGACGAGAATGGTTGTTTGTCGAGCAACTACAAAGAATCATTATGAGACTGCTAGTCGTGGCAGATGTAAAACAGAAACAAAAAATTATTTTTATAAATCAAAGTAACAAAAATGAACACCCGTTATGAATAATGGAAATATCTGACCATGATATAACTGAATATGACAAGAAGGTCGCAAGTGAATTGAAATCATTTCCAAGAGTTGTTAAAAATATGAAAATACACGTCACCAGTAGCTCGATGATCTTCAACTGTTGAATTGCAAAGCTTTAATCGTAAGTTAAGTCTTTGAGGTAGAAAAACTGTTCTCCATTTATCGTATGATATGAGAACAGAAAAGCTGACAACAGGAATAAGACTGAAGAGAGCACGTATAAGAGATGACGTCTACGTCTCACCTGTCTTTCAGAATTTCAAAAAGTTCCGCTTGTATCCAAGAGTAATCTGTGCTGTTTGATAACCAAAACTCTATCGACATGATCGATGAAATCATGATTCCCATTGATGGTACAAGTAGTTTGAAAAGCTGAAAAAACATGGTTGAGGAGCTGTCTCAGAAACTTATTATAACATGGAAGACCCTCATGTTCTCATGTAATTGGAACTTTTTGCTCAAAGTGTACTGATCGGAACATGAGATCTTTTCCAGATTCTTCAACAAGTTCTGATTGTAGCAGAGGATATATAGAAAACCCTATCAAAAAATTTTTTTTAGTAAATGAAGATGTTCAAACAACCCACGATGCAAGCTAACGTGATGATGGATATTAAGAACGCAGTGACGATGACAATGCTCGAAAGCTGGAAAGTGAGGACTGTTGAGCATAGGCAGGACAGGACGGTATTGCATAGTATACAGAGAAATGGTATATACAATCGAACCGTCTTCTCATAATCAACAAGAAAGTAAGTAGCAGCAGATCTGAAGACTAGAAGGATAACGTTCAGATACGTCATGAAAGTACCGTTCAAAAAACGCAGATACAAATGTAGATGGAACGTAGTAAAGAATGAAGAAGTTGTACATACTAGCCACCAGTAGGATGACGTCTACCTTTTGCGCTATAATGAAAACAAGAAATAGTTTTTCCTACATTAATCTATTACCATTTACGGGCAGCATCTCTAACTCATACAGTATCACAATTGCACGAGCCATAATGTAGAAAAAAGCATAAATGAAAGTACTGACTACCACGATAAGAAGATTTGTATGAACTCCTCGTCTGCTGATGATGATCTTCAGTGATATGACAACCATTATGACTCCAAGCTTAAAGCTATGTGTATTAGATGAACATGGAGTTACATCATGATTCTTTTTGATTTTTGAGCCAATGAATGATTAAATATTTTTTTCATCACGTTTAACTTACTATTAAAATGAAAAATTCAAAATAATAAAGTTTGATTGGGGTCTGCTCTGTCTGAGAAATAACCATTTTGAGTGAATGAGAATTCAGATAGATGGAGATGTTTCCTTTTGATAGCGTCGTCATATAAACTAAACTCAACTCGAGATCTGAAAGAACATCCATAGTGATGAGAGAGAAAGGAGTAAAGAGAGAAAGATGAAGAAAGATGAGAATGAGAGAGAGAGGAAGAGAGAGGAAGAGGAAGAGAGAGAGAAAACACAAAAGAAGACACAAAGAGAAGAGGTTGAATTATTTTTGTTTTATGTGGAAAGCACAAATAAGAAAATTCTGCATTTCGACCGAATACGAGATCAACCAGGTGTAATGAATACGCTTTTCGTCTTTTTTAATACAGCTCTTATTCTTTTTCTAAAATATCCAAGTCACTCCTCCCCTTTGTCACCAAGCTCCTTCTTTTTCTCTCTTTCAGTACATTTCTGAAGGATGATTTGTCATGGAATTAAAGAAACACATTTTATTTAAGAAAAACAAACAAAAAAATGAAAAAATGGTTAGTTAAGTCTTGTGGAGCAACCCATAAGTCATCTGCTTCTCCTTTGAAAGCAATCGAAAGAATGAAATGATACACAAATTGGAAATTTACAATTTCGTTGATATTATGATTATCTTTTGTCTTTTTCTTCTTCTGTTCTTTTCATGAAAAGAAAAATCGTAACTGTTTGTGCTTTCAACAGCATATATTTCCTGCACGACATGTACGTCCACCTCCACAAACACCATTTCGGCATGTACCGAATGGCATTGTGTTGCCGGGACAGGTTGGACAACAGTATCCAATGCTGTTACTGGAATAGCCAGCTGCACAGAATCCCTAAAACGAGTAGATCATAGATGATAAAACATGATCAGTAGCGATACTGCTTACATTTTGGGCTCTTCCACCGCTACGTCCAACGCTGCACTCACAGCAATAATTGGAGGCTGTACAAATTCCCACGTTACATGAGCCGCCAGTACATACACCTAAGGCCATCTGATTACCACATGCTTCTATAATTATATTATTGTAAATTATAATGTTCAAGCATTATAATTATTCACCTTGAAAATCGTTGGAAGTAGCGGCACAACACAGACCTGTCATGCATACATGGCCTGAGGGACATTGATTACGTCCGCTACATCTGACTTCAGATAATTGACCAGATGGACAATAACCTGAATTAAATGTTAATCACTATGCTTATAAATCGTGTAAATATCTTTGTTGTTATTAGCTGCTGTCGTCATTTGCATATTAAAAACAGTCGTTATTCTAATTACGTATGCGAGCACTGAATTGAGTTCAGAGCATCGTCATTTGAGCACTTTTTGAAGTCACAGACCGGTTGTTGGCATTTATGAACCTCATCATCCTCGTCATTCAAGTTTTACTCAAAATAAAGGATAAAGCGTTACCGAATCTGTTCAAGTTGTTTGGTGGAGGAGTGGGGTTAGATGGCACTGTACAACAACATGAGTTGATGCATGTTGAAGTCCCACTGTAAATCATGAATGTATCGTTAAATGATTCAAAAATGTTTCGACTTACGAATAGTATGGAGTACATTGAGCGGATGATGTGCAACCGACATTCAGATATCTTCCACCGTTAGTACACATGTCACTAGTTGGGCAGGCTTAAATCGCAATATGATTATCACCAGTAAGGTTAGATATACATACGATCAGTACTATAGTACTTGTTGGGATGAACTCCACAGAGATAATAAGCTTGACGACGATTTCTTGTCATCAAATGCGAATCATCAGCGAAGCGAGATGAAGCCTCAATAGAGGACAAAACAAAAAGAGCAATGAAAACTAAAATAAAATTCAAATATGATTTAATTTTTAAAAAATGAGACAAACCAAGCATGATTGAGAACGTGTGGATGAGTGTGATTCATTAACTGTTTGAGCCATCTTATATAAATGGTTGAAGCTGAATGTGGATTCAGCTGTTATGGGCTGATTGGAAAAATGTAAAAAAGAAAAAATAAAATATTTGCTCAAATGATGTCATTTGGAGATGAAATGAAAATGCTTTCTATTGTATGTTAATAGAAAAAAATTAAAAATTCCAAATAAAAATAGGACTTCAATTGTCTTTTATGCCAATTGTTTCGATTGATTGTCGATCATGTAGAAGCTATAGTGCAATTCACTCAGATATACACAGTTTTGATCTTCTGATCATCTCATCTCAACCCTTATTCTACCTTCAGCTTTCACTCTAACACATTCTCAACAGATTGACTTAACATGTCAGGCAGCTCTCACGTGATATACTAATTAGTCAGGTATTATTCAAAGAAATAAGAAATAACATGATGTTGCTGGAGAGTTTCCAGATAAATAATTCAAATCGCATACGGTAGACAAGAGAATACTCGTAAACAAGAGAGATCAAAGATAAAAAGATCAGGTGAGCATATGGAGCTCTGACAACCCTCTATTCTCATCAATTCCAATAATATTTTCTTGACATTCACTACTTTTGCAGCTACTTTATTGATTAAGCTCAGTATAGCACCAACGAACAACCATTTGTAACTTGTCGAGCTATGCTTTTCCTTTTCTGATTCATCCATATATTTCTCTCTCACACACTCGCTCTTCGTTCTCTTTAATTATGAAATCCTTTTGTTTTTTTTTCATTTGTGCTCATCTCATTCTCTCAAAACAAAGAAAATCATTTTGACCGCATGATTCATCCTCAGCTTCATCTTTCATTTCTTTATTTCATTTTCAGTGAACGGCTCCAAAAAAAATCCACAAAAAATGCAATCCTTGACTGCTTTGCGTCTCCTTCAACTACGTGAGTTCTTCTGATTATTAAAAATTGTTTTGTTGCTAATTGCAACAACAGTAGCATGAATTATCTGGCTTCTTTGCAGTCATCTACATGTTCTCCATATAGACTTGTGTGGTCCTGAGAATCATTCTTCGCAATGATTCTTCATTCCATCCACACATGGCTTTAATAATTGAAAATATTTTCCTAATCTTCATATTCTCATCCATATTTGGCATCTTCCGATCAATCTTCTCAATAATCGATTGGCAAACTGTTACTGAGGTAAGCAATAATGAGCTCTACAGGACTATCATCAAACTATTCAGAAGACATTGATGATCATTCCAACTGACATCTCATGTCCTGCCAACAGCTCCTTTCCTCATTTCCTATCATTCCTTCTATGTTTCTTCACGTTTTTATTAATATTAGAAAGAGTTTATGCGACACATAATTATCGTTCATACGAATATACAAGTTGGATGAAAATAATAAAACAGCTCTTTCTACTCTCTGTAAGTTGCTTTCTCCTTCACTCTCTCTCTCTCTATCACTTTCTATCAATCTCCAAGCTTCTATAAATCTTTTCTCATTTATATTTTGTTCAGTGGACTCCATTACCGTTCATAATAATTCTGAACATTTCGTCATTTCTTCAAGCCAAAAACAATTTCCATATATGCGAAGTGATTGAACTCAATAGAACTGTCTATCAACGTAATACATGGATCTTCCTCGTCTTCTTCTTCAACGCCATTTTCTCAATCATATTCCTTCATTTGTACCATGTAAGCTTCACTTCTTCTCTCTAAACTGTCCTCACTTCCATTTCAGAAAAATGTTGAACACGAACGCAACTATGTGCGTTTTCATTACTCCACGTTATCCATCCGATTTCAGATGAAAGAAAATCTTTCGACAAGCTTATTCATGACAAAAGCAAACTTTCTAATTTCATTTTTCTTTTTACTTGCCATTCTAATTGATTATAAATTCATTCAAAAGCAATTTCCTTTCATGGATACATTCATATATCGTGTAAGTTCACAAACTGATCTATGTAATGCAGCATGTCGTATTATAGGAAACCTGGTATTTAGCTATAACAGCGCTCCATTTGGTGTTCCCCACTTTCCTTCTATTTAATCATTCAAAAATTTATTTGAAATTCAAGAAATGGTGGTTCACTCGTCTGAATATCTAATAGTCGCAGAAAGCCTACTGAGATAAAGCTGTGCAACTGAATAAGGAGTTAGAGACAGTACAGAATAACAAGTTATTAGAATATGTCAAGTCTGTCGTTTGATTCGAACAAAAAACTGAATAGAAGCTTGTCCTTCTCGATAACACCTCAATAATCTGCTCTTTTGATTTCTCCTCATCGTTCACCATATTCTAAAAAAAAGTTGAGAAAAATATTTTTTTCATTTTACACCCATTGTTCAAACCTGCAATAAAATTTCTTTCAACTCATCACTGTTGCAGCTCTCTTCAACAGATCTGAATACATGCAGAGAGTAGTCTTAAAAATTAAAAAAAATGATTCGACAAACCGTTTGCGACGACCAAGCAATCCACCACCGCCACCACAGCCTCCACAGCATGAGCAACCACCACAACATCCTCCTCCTCCACCTCCACCCAATAGACCAGGGCAACAGTGAGTTAATGATGACAACATAAGTACAAGTAGAATATGAGAGTATAATTGCATAGCTTTCATTTGTATTTTCATTTCGTTTACATTTTCCTCTTCTCTTATATATTTGATTAAGCAGGTCACATCGCTCGTTATGAAAACGGAAATCTGCTATTGAATACGAAAAGTCTTCCGGGTAACTTAGAAGGGATTTCCTGTGGATTAACTATTATAATTATATGTAATTAAATAGAACAACAGAGACACAGAAAGAAAAAGAGAAAAAAAATATTTTTTTTATTCTTTTCGAAATTGAAAATAGAAGAATCACACACTTCCTTCTCCATAAATAACATGATTAACAAGAAATTTTTGTATAAATTAAGATTTAATAAAGAAAAATTATAAAGTAGTTTCATAAGAATGTGGTAGAAAGTGTTTGAGATCATCAGGTGTCTGAATACTGTCTTTGCCTATGAGTGAGAAATCGTCCTCTTCATCTCCATCTATGGGCAGGATGCTCTGAATGCACAAACTCATCATATATACTATTTATGTCTCAATATGTCATATTTTAGCATTACTCTTCTTCCTTTTTTTTTATTATTAAAAACGTTGTTGCAGCAATGGAAGCAATCTATTACAATTTCTTTTTTTTTCTGTTCAAATGAATTCAATATGAAACGATGAAGAAGCTCATCTGCATATCACGCATACACGTGAATGAGTTGAAGCTTTTCCAATTTTGGAAAACAACAGCTACTAGAGCATCATTGCTACACACAACGAAGCTGCGAAAGTTGACAAATCTTCTGCTTCGTTCAGGTTTACTTCTTTTCCGTTATTTGTTTGCTTTGTTTTTTTTTTGTAAAATGATTGAATTCACTTGAGATACTACGGATTTCAGCTTTGAAAAAAGAAATTTGAATAGAGTCAGAACACAGAAGCGGAGGTTATAAGCAGTAAACTCAGAACATTCAATTGTGACAACTGGTTAGTTATACCACCATATATGGATGTAAGAAGAACATGAAGCAAACGCAGCTAAGGAAATAAGATAAGATTGACAAAACTATTTTCTATTCCAAAAACGTAAAGAAGAGATATTGAATCAACAACCTTAGCCATTCGTTCCATATGTGGGCAGCTTTTGGATTACCTATTAGTAGATTTCAAGCATTTGTTTTCTTTGTTCTATTCATATTGAATATGAATGTTTGGAAATGAACGAGGAAAAAAAGAAAAAGGTGACAGAAAGGATTGTATATGATGATTGCTTTGAATGAGTTAAGAATCATACCAGAGGAGTTTCCTTTCCTTCCTGCGAACACTCGAGTGCTGTTGTTCGAGTTGTTATGGTAATGGAGAACCTTTTATCATTACCAACAAGATATTCGTTTTCCTTATTCTAAAATGCATATCATCTTAGATTAAGGAAGCTATTGAAAATGATTAAAAACCTTCTTGTTCTTTGATTCACACGAGAAGAGGTTCTTAAGGATATCTAGTATCTCTGTGCGTAGGGCTACTTGACAAGAAAGGTAAATTGGTAAACGGCAGGCACAAGCCAATGTGGTTAACAAAGAAACCATATCAACAGCTATCACATATAAACTATAAGTATATCATTAAGATTATTATTATATGCATATAGTTAGTTGCATACTTAATGTAACGAGATTGTAATCCTTCCTTATCTAAATGTTCCCATATAGTTAATGCAACATTGATTATGTTGCTTATGAGGTAACAACACACAACCAGTACCAGAGTACGCGTAGCTGCTCGTACTGTTGCCTAAAATCAAATTTATTTCATCTTGCTTCACATATCATTGTTATGAAAAGAGAGAGAGAGTTTCTATAAGCTTAGATAGACAGCCTATGTTATTGTGTTTGAATGAGATGCAGTCGTTCTTCTATCTATAGATTGGTCTCGTCTGATCCCAACAAACTCTACAGGTGGAAATGAGTTAAAGCAGTCTATTTTGCCTTTTCGTTGATCAAAAATTGGATCAAAAAGAAAAAAAGTCAAAAAAGGCAAAATGAATGCTGCTTTACATGCAAAATTAAACTTTTTTTTTTCATTTCTGTTGATTAATTCGCAGGTAGATTAGTTGGAGAGTGTTTGGATCGGTTTTACCTTGATTTCCGCAACATTCAGTCCATATTCGGCCGATTTCTACGGGAAAAATTGGATTTATGAACGAAAACTTATGTTTTTAACTCGGAAAAAGAATAGTTTTTGAGAACTTTTGTCTTCTCAAAAAACAACTTCTGATGCTATATGACAGCTTCTTGTCATATCTTTGATGCTCTTCCGAAGAATGAAGATGAGAGATGATGAGAGAGAATAGAATAGTGTGTGCTATGGAATACAAGAGAGAGAGAGAGAGAGAGAGAGAGAGAGAGAGAGAGAGAGAGAGAGAGAGAGAAAGATGAAAATGAATATAAATTGTGATTAAGAAATACCTTTCGCTTTGCTTGTTCAACAGCAGCATTACCCGCTAATTGGCATACAGTCAATTTGGTATGTATTGTCAGAGCTTTAACTATGCGTATATTGAGAATAGCTAATATGAAGAAAGGGGCAAAGATTGTCACAAAATTTCGATACCTAAAAAATGAGAAAAAAATGAGAATGAGTTCAATAAGGTATGTAAAAACCAAAATCTCCAAACGATATTATATGGTGTGCCAAAGACAAATTGACGATAAGCTATATTCGTGGCACTCATTGTTCCTTCACATTCCGGATTCACGTAGATCTATAGAAATAGTGTAAAATGGAAAATTTCGTTTTTTTTTTCTTTTTTTTTCGCTCGAACCTCAAATTCTAAGAACATAGTTCCTTTACTGACAATACCGAGAAATATGGCAAGAAAGGCAAATAACTTGCGATTTCTGTAAAGAAAAGGAAATTTGAATAAGAAATGAAAGTGAAGAAGCATGAGAGCAGAAGAGCTGAAGCTTACCTTTGAACGAATGGTAATGATTTCATATTGACAGTCATGCAGTATCTTTCGAATGTTGCAGCCACAATGAGATTAGATGATGATGTCATAGCGATATGTGAAATTGTGATCATCGGAACCATATAAATATACCTTAATTAGATGTAAACGACACATGTTGGGAGAAAGCATGTTGATTCTTACCAAATTTTCAAAAGTAGAGCTGATTGAAGATAATCCGATAATACATTGACGGACATAAGCAAGATGTACGCTATGCTGACAAAAACATCAAAGAAAGCTAATAACATTAAATAAATGTTATAATTAGTTCGATGGTGTTTCCTATACGGAGTGTATGTCATCAGATGTCTGATCAAGTAAATAGAACTTACTTTGTAAGAAAATTATAAAATAATAATATATTATTAGCGATACTAATGAATGAGATGATAGATCCAAATACGGTTACAAGCCAAAATCTGAGTTCCGTCATAGGTGGTGGAATATAATGACATAATGAATCAGTTGATTCAGTAGAATTATCCATTAGCTCATCCATCATAATCTCTTCAACTGTCATTCTAGAACACGAAGAACGATGAAGATGAAGAAGGAGAACGAGTCGAACATGAACGAAAGAGCATTAGCTTTATAAGGCTGATTTTACTCAACGAACGAGCAAAAAAAATAAAGATGCAGAATCTTTTTTTCTTTATAAATGTTTATACAACTGAGAGAAAGAAAAATAAAAGGAAATAATCTAGTTTGATTGCTTTGAACGAGAATTCTGTGAGAAGAAAGTTCTTTCTAACAGTTTCCTCTCTGCCACCATGTATACAAATGAGCAAAGACAAAGGTGTAAATGGAAGGCGTGAGAGTAATGAGCAACGAAAGGACCACAAGAATCATCTATGGAAAAGCATAAACCTAAACTTATGTTAACGCCTCTCCAACTTTTTTTCTGCTTTCCTCCTTTACTGCATATCACTCTCTCTCTCTCTCTCTCTCTCTTTCTCTTTCGCATACTCTGTCGTACTTCTTTCCATTGAATTACTATCTCGCACTCTCTCTCTCTTAAAGTCTCTCATAAAGGCATTTTTTCTATCCTTGTTTCTTTTTATACATCTGCCTCTATTTTTCTATTTTTGATATTAAACATGAACCTAAGGGAATGCTCAGAAAAAGTTTTTTTGTTCTTTTGGCGATTACAGCTTGTATGAAGCTGAGAAATGGGATGTGTCCAAGATGTTTTTTGTTGAGAAAAATAAAAAATAAATTTTCCCACTGATATCGACAACCCACACAAGCCCATAAGTGGCATTAAACAACTTGTAATTGATCCAAACAAGGAGAAGCTCAAAAAAAGAATATTTTGACCCAATAAACATAAAGTTGAAAAAAAAAACAAATCGTTCGAAAACTTTCAAATTGCAGTTGACTCGTATGCGAAAAAAAAAAGTCAAAGAAGATGATTGTTTACTAAATTTCTATTTTTTTTTCTTTTTTTTGTTACATGTAATGAGGGCAATAGTTCTTCAGGATTTGCAAGCAAAAAATATATTTTTTTGTTGGGTGGGAGGGAGAGAGGGATTGAAGAAGGCAAGAAAGTGAGAGCAAAGAAAGAAAAAAGGAGAAAAAAAGAAAAAAAAAGAAGAAGAAGCAAAATTGTTGATAGAAGGGTGTTTGATATGAGATTGAGTGATAGAAAAGGATTTTAGGAAGAGGATATGGGTGGGATGGGGGGTGGATAGATGGACGGGAGATGGGTGAGACAATTCAATTCAACTAATTTCCTACTCGTTAAACTCGATCAGAAACACAAAAAAAAAGAAATCAACAACGGATAAAACTTTTTTTTAATTACAACCAAAAGCTGCTCTTTAATTTCTGGCTGCAAATAAATGTTTATTAGAGCTTTTTTGTCTTTTTTTTTTGGCGGTAGACCCTTAATTGCATTCAACCCTAATTAGCAAAATAATAAAAAAAATAAGTTGAAAGAAAACCCAATTCGTGCAAACGTACTGAGAAGTTCGTAAAGAAAGAAATCTATTATAAGGCAAACATATGTTTTGAGTTTGGAACACATCGTTGAGGAAGTAGAAGTTGCACAGCTTGTTCACTCTCATACCATGCTGTCTTGATGATGAGAATGAAAAACCTTTCTTGAGAATTTGAAGGAGGCAAAGTAAAGAAATTAAAAAAAATGCAAAATCGGAATGTTTGCATCTTAGAAGGAATGACGTGATTTGTACATGACGCGTTGGCGTTAACGCTTCTCATTTTCATATTTCAAATGCGAACGGAGCGGTTGTCATAGTGTTGATAATAAAATAAATCAAATGATTAAATAAATTTTGATGAACCAGCTTCTTGATGTGATTGTTAAGATTAGTACTGATCAGGAAGTATTTTCGTTTTGAGATCAAATAAACAGCGAAAAAAAAGAAAAAAATGTAGTTGTTTTGAATGGATAACCTTTCTCTTCAGTCTTTTGTCAATCGTCATGGTATTGGGAGGGAGAGAAGGACAATGCCTACGAAATGAGCTAACAAATGACAGAAATTATATCATTTCTTGTTTTATATTTTGAATTAGGCATAGCTTCGACAGCTGAAGAAGAAGCTTTCCTATTCTGAAACGAAATTTTTAGAAAAAAAAATGGTTTTATTGTGCAAATTCTGTTAATAACTAGGATGGATGGAATGGCAAGTTAAGCATAAAATGCAATGTTTTCTCAAAATACTCGAATATTCCACACAAATATCTCAAACTCACTTTATTTCCCTCTATCTCTCTCTCTCTCTCTCTCTTCTGTCATCTTCATCTCTTTCTCTCTCTATCTTTACATCTTGTTTAAATTCAATCCAACAAAGAGAGAGACATGACCTTTTATGAATTATAATCAAATTCTTAAGCAAATAATGAATCCAAAACTGTTCAAGTTCAAGAAAAATTAGCCAAAAATTCGTTTCCTAGTACCTTCAATCAGGAAGAAGCTTCTATTTCAGAAAAATGGTTTCAAATGGATTGTGAGAGAATGGAAACCGATTATCTTCGATTGTGAAAATTCTCAAAAGTTTAACTATCAGATTTCGTATGGCTAAAGAGAGAGGATTGGGTGAGATCTTCTTGAAGGTGGTCGATGAGAATGGCAGAAGACCGGAAGTTTCACAACAAAATCACATAAAAGTCAATTCAATTACACAATAAATGAACCTTCAAATGACATTTTTGTTCGAAAAAAAAGAAATATGTTTCCTTGGTGGGCACCACAGCTCGCTGTCGACACACACAAGGTTTGTGGTGGTAGAAATTGTCATTTCACTCGACTTGACATGAAAGAACGGTTGTTCCTCCCATTGCGAGCTTTTGCTTCTCTTTCACAGCCTCTCACTTACCGCGTGTTTTTCTTTCTTTCTAACTCTCTCTCTCTCTTTCTCCTATTAAGGCTTATTTTCTCGCCTAGTAGATGTAGTGGATGGTAGACTTTAAGGTCAACTACGGACTGAATGAGTTGATGTTCTTCATTCAAAGGTAATAAGTTGTGAGGAAAAGGGAATTCAAAACTTCAGAAACAACTGTATAAGGGCATATCAAAGAACTCTCTACATGTGAAACAAGAACAAACGAATATTATCTTCATATAGCTTGTGCTCGTCAGTATGTTTGGCCGCAAATAGAAGATATCCATATCGCTTTTGGAAGGAAATCGTCTAAAGATGTATTTACTGAAAAGGAAATGAATGGAGATGAATAAAAGCGAAGTAAAATTTATAAAAAAAACCCTTTGAATAATGTATTAGTGGCTGGTCTAAAACGTTTTTCCTTTTTTTTCGCATTTGCTTTATAAGGGAGATAATGGTTTTAGAGAAGCGTGACGTCGTACGTGCAGATGGTTATCTGATTAACTTCAGAGCTTCGTTTTTGTTTCTTTCTTCAGCTTTCTAAGACTCTGCCACAGATCATGATTCACATTTGTCATCTCTCCAAGCATGATCAGCTTACTGCAACACATTGGTCTATGTTCGCTACACATCCCACAAACGTTCGCTCTAGGTTGTTGCGTTCGTCTTGCTCTTCGTACAGGGATTTAATGGCTTTGTTGATATGTTGCATGTGTGTTGTCTTAGAACAGAAATTAGGAAATTTTCATTAACTGAAGGGAATCTTTGGCAGAAAAAAAAAGAGGAAAAAGGAGATTTAAATACTTTGAAACAGCTCGCAGAAAGAAATCCTTTCTGGCTCAGCCTTGCAAGCTGTACTTATGACTTTCAAAAAAGGAAAAACGACCTCTAGATGGATTTACATAAGCTTAAACTTCTCATTTTTCGCTTCGGCTTTCATCTTCTATTCTCGGAAGTTCTTTTCGTGAAAAAAAATACAGAAATGTATGGAAAAAAGGAAGTAAAGTATGAAAATCTCTCTCTCTCTCCCTCTCACTCTAAAGTTGTTGAATAACGTAAGAAAAGCTGTGAAACATAATATTCTCAGAGCTTTTAAAGAGATTTTCAAAATTTGAATTTCTAAATGAAACGTCTGCCGCTGCTGCTGGTAGCGCGGTGGTGTGGTGGTGGCTGATGTCGGAAGCAATGAGCGAGCAAGTGGGGAGCCATGTGCTGGAATATTTGGTTCTGTCCTTGTAATTATCGAAAAAACGATTAAAAGAAAGAATATAAATTTTAAAATGAAACTAATTTCTGTATGATTCTTAGTACAAATGCGTTTTATATGATAGTCAGATAAGTGCTGTGCATGTGCTCGTTTCTCACTCTCATTCAAATTCAATTTTTTAGTTTTTCATTCTTCTATTGCAAATTACATACAATATTATTCTCTAAAATATACAAATATCATTAGTAGAAGATGTTCTGCAAGATAGATTGACGGTGACGACGACGTCGTCATGTTTTTCGTTTGAGCTGACCCTGAAGAGTTTTCCAAATCCAGCCCATCACCTGCCGCTGAGAATGTGATGTCTGATGGCTGAGTGCTGAACAAAATGACTTTAGTTGGCTATAGAAATAGAATTACGAAACCTTCTGTCTCCAGAATCATCAGATTCAACCGTGCTTTCATCTGCATCCTCGTTAATCTCTTCTTCTTCATCATCTTCATCCTCTTCATTTTCTACTCCATTCTGTTCTACTGAATCCTCTTGTAAATCGTCATCAGTCAGCTCAAGTCGAATTTGAGAAGTCGATGTAATAATGGAATTGATGGTCGTCACTTCTGGAGCTAAAGCTTTTAAGGTTGTTTTACGATGACGATGAGTTGTTAATGAGACACTCAATGGCTTCTTCGGCTTGGTGTTTGTGTCTGAAAATTATTCTTTTTTAAACATTTTAAAGAGAGCAAACATTATACCAAAGGGTGGTAAGGGATTTTTCTGAATATTCTTCAAAGTACTCTCCCGAACGATTCCCAAATCTAAACTGAAAGGGATGGACGTCAAACAATAAGACGAAGCTGATTTATCCGGATTACTTATGTTTTTGGATCTCACATAAGTAATTGGAGGGGAAAGCTGAAAAAACTGCAATCAATTTCGTACTCCGATCTTGTCAGCTTCAAAGCCCGTAATTTGAGATTTTGGTTTTTTTTTTTTAATTTTCAAGCATCCCATTATGTCTTTGAGAGCATAAGAGAAGTAAAAAAAATATTTAAAAGCCTTTTAGTGCAATTTCTATTGTCCTTTGTAGTTGAATTCGATTATGAAGGAACTTACGGTTCGATCTGTTTCCGAAAACAAGAGAACATTACTATCGGCTGCTAATGAATTAAGCCACAATCCGCTGGAGAACGAGGAGTCATTGCCATATTGAGTTTTAACCAGATTAGGACTGAAACAGATGAGGCATAAATGTTGATATATGCAAATATGGAAATACTTGAACAGGAGATCATAAGCACATTCACACTGGTATGTTGATTGAAATCGATTTCGTTTGAATAACAAATTCCGTTGAGTATCCAAGCCAACCACATACTCATTGGCGATATCCGGTCCTGTCCATTCACCTGAAAAATAGAAAAAAAAATGACAAAGATAGAATGCACAAACGAACGCTTTCCATTGTTTTGTATAGTAAACTTGTCCAGGTAACGCAGATATCCCTCAGGATTTATAAGAAACTGAAGTGCATTCCATTCTTTTCCTTCTGACTGTCCATTCACAAAATAGATGACATTCTACAAATGATCAAAAATGATTTGAGTATACATCCTCATCACTCACATTATAGAGAGTGTCCAAAAATGATAAATCTGTCTCCAGTTGGTAGGAGTTCGGTGGTGAATGAGAACATACAGCATATGAAAGAGAATTGAAAATTGAATAACTGAAAAGAGCCACCAAAAGTCTTTGACATTAAAACATTTTGCAGTCTCACCTAAATATGTGATTTCCAAATAGAAGATCGAACGGAGGAATAGTGACGTTTAACGTACAAATACGATTTCCGGCCTGCTTCGTAACCAACAGCAGAGAATCGGATGACTGAAAGTAGAATAGGGAGAACTAAGGTACAAGCATGATTATCAATCTACCTGAAGATGTAATTGAACTAAATTTGGATGACAATAAGCATTATAGATATTAACATTCAATGTTGATAAGAGAGCGATCTGTGATGGTCGCAGAAATATAATCTGACAATCCTGAAAGAGAAGAAGAAGAAGCTTGATTGCGAATAGGAAGAAGCTTACCTGAGTTAACCCGTAAATCAAATAATTATCTTTTTCTTGTTGTAAAACATGATGAAAGTTGTGTGAATGACAAGAATCTCTGGCTTCAACAAAATAAAAAAGAAAATAAAAAAGGAAAAGCCTCATCCTATGAAACTTCTGCGTGTGGATGGTAGAAATCTCATTGAAAAACTGAAAAAAAACCATATGAGGGCATTAAGCCAGACATTCAATCATCGATGATGGAAAGTTAGGATTATGCAAAGATTTATAATATAAAAAATAATAGAAGAATAGGAAATGAGGATAGAAAAGTACGAGTTTAATGAGGAATTGTTGAATAACCATATTTGGGAGGAAAAAATCGGCAATGCGGTATGAAAAGAATGTTGAAGATGATGCAGAAAGCATAGGATTCAATTCATATTTAGGACGATAAGATGGGGGGGGGGGGTTTACTTGAACGAAAAGTGGAAGTAAGAACCTCCAAGACACGAATTATTTGAAAAAAGACGTCGAAATGCGCATAAATCATGTATAAATTGAGGAAAAGACATCCTTTTGAGGAATTTTCCTTTGACCAAAAAAGGCAAAAAGATTAAAAATGAAAGGAAAAAGAAGCTCTTTTTTTACTTCTTTATCAACTGCATTGATGTCCAAACGACGGATGACTGAGTGAAGAGACGCCTTTCCATGAAACATCATCCATTGCATCATCCATCATATGCATATCATGCATATAATGAATTGAATAGAATAAAAAATATAATTTAGACATTCAGCATTAAGAAACTTTTTTTTTTCCATATTTCAAGCGATAAGTTAAGTGAGCAAATTGAATCTGAACAGCCAACATGCCCCCCGCCAATTATGTTTTGCGCACTCAAAAGGAAACCTTTTTTTGGTGAATGGAAGGAATGGGGTGAGAGGTGGGTCGAATGCAAACCTTCCTTGATTACGAATTATACTTAGAGGAAGCTTAAACTATACAAAAGTTTCATAAATTCTACACACTAAGCTTGTGTAACGAAACAAAGACCTCAAAAAGGTAAAAAGAAGACGAAAGATGAAGTATAAGTGAGAGAGAAAAGAGTAAGAGGAAGAGTGAGTGGTTAGTGCGAGGAAGGATACGGGGGCAGAGTTCATAGCAACTGACTAAGAAGGCTAGTGAATGAAAAAGTTTTTTTAGTTTTACTACCTCCAAGTCAGCAGAGCAATAGACAGACTAAGTGAGATAGGATATGGAGAGATAAACATCAGCAATGTTGAAATGTGAACATCAGAATCTCAGATGAAATGTCATAAAAATTAGGAAAAAAGCGAATGATTGACCAAACTCTCCAAAAATCCGTCTAGTCGACCGGAAACAAACAATGAAAGTTCTTTTATAACGTAGACCCCCCCCCCCCCCCTTCTAACTGCCATATTTGGAAAAGTAATCGGAGAAGAAGAAAAAATAGGGAGAATAGTAAGATTTACAATAGTAATTTGCATAAAATGAAAGAGAAATTTGCATTTTACTAAAAGATTTTTGTGTTCTTGTTATGGAAAAACGAAACGTAGCGACTTTAATCGCATAAATCATGAGCATCTTGGGATTTAAAATGACTGATGAGCTAAGCAACCACAGCTTCACATGTAGAAGCTTAAACTTTTGGCTATCAAAGATAGAAAGAATACGTCCAGAGATTTATTTTCCCATGACGCTACTTGTGCTGAGATCTTTGACATAAAGATGGATTTCATTTCGTTTTTTTTCTACACCAATCACACACTCATACACACACATACACGTACTCACACATACACATATGCAGACAGTTGACAAATGATCATCAGAAGTTTATAGGTAAATGAGAAAAGTATAGAGAAGTGATGAATGATTGAAAGATGTTTAAGAATCATATCATTCAGCTACATGTAAGACACATCAAAGCATAAGTTTGGTACTTGAAAGAAGAAAATCTGATTTGCAGGACTCTTTGAAAATCTGTGAATGATGAATAGGGAATGGGCAGACGAGAGCAAAAATAAGACAATAGTCCAACAATATCTTTCTCTTCCACCCTCTCGTACTTAGTATGAGCGTCACTCTCTCTTTTGATATCTCTCACTCTTTCTCTCTCTTTACATCTCTATCTTTTTCGTCTTTTAAAAGTTTATGTTGTCGTGTTTCTCCCTTTAACATACTTCTAAAGAAGGAGGAGAGAAGAGTAGACCAGATGACTGCTCAAAACTAAAAAAAGAGAAGCTCAGAGAGATAGAGAGAGAGAGAGAAAGAGAGAAAGAGAGCATTGAAATTTACAAACAAAACACTAAAAATGATAAATTATCGAAGCAAAAAAGACTGAAAAAGAAACATTATAAGCTTGAGCACAGCATTGTGTTTCTCTGTGAGCTTCTTTCACTATTCATGTGAAATGGATGTCTTCCATCAGATGATGATGGTGAAGGTGTAAAAATCGGTGAAAATGATCAATTACCGAATGAAACAAGTGTGAAAAAAAAGTTTGATAAAGCTAAACAACATACGAGAAACATATGAAAAATGAAAAGTTGAATTCAGCAGTCTCAACAACTCTATTGAAATGAAAAGAAGAACGAAATCTTGGCGTGAGTTGGAAGATATTCAAATTCCATTATATGCTTGAGCTTTTCTCGAATGTTTAATGATCCATAAACGTTTAACCATCCAATTATGTAAATCTCTGTTTTTTCACAAACAAAATTTATTTTTCGTACATGAAACAAACAAAATATTAAAAAAATGAAATTGGAGAGAGCAAGAGAGAGAGAGAGAGAGAGAGAGAGTGGGAGAGACTGATTCATCTTCTCAATAGCATTCCGATAACCTCTGAAAGTAATGTAATCGTTCTGTACTTTGTATTACAACAAAACAAACTCTGAAATAAAGTATGATTGAAAACTCTCCACATATCCAAAATACTCAAGCTCAAGCTTCTTTATTCATATTGAGAATAGGCTTCATAGCTCATTATTCACGCGAAAATCACGTAACACATATAGCTTTGTCTGCAACAAACTTCATTTACGCATAACGTAGACGACTATGCGGTTGGTTCGATGTTTTGTCAGAAGCTGCAAACGTACTTGCTCCCTCCAATTACAAGTATTACTTTTGCTATGTGGAGCTGGTCGCTTAGACATCCATAATCGGCAATCATATTGATATAATAAAAATGCCATATAATGGTTAACTCATAAACATTATATTTATTATAATTATATAGAGGAGAAATGGCAAAGAAGAAATTTCGAGCAAGTCAAATACACTTCCGAACATGGCACACAGAACGATGGCGCTGTTAGGCATCATGCTTACAAAAGGTAAGATATTTCGGTATAAGATTCTATTACAGACAATGTTTTTCAAGGCTTAATCGTTAGCGCAGAAAGCGTTCCGTATCTTCCGGTAGACTTTTCTTCCACAGAGCCAACAACTACTACAGTCCTCCCTTTCACGCATTATGAATACAACGGTATACTGACAGACACTATTATTTATTATTGTACTTTCCCAATGACGATAATCGTACTCTTTCAAATCTAATAGCTTTAATAATCGTTTCCATTTAGGGTACAATCATTATAGATGATACTGTGAATGTTACCAACAAGCAAATTGAAGATTTTTTGACCTGTTTCTGCAACATCGAAGGAAAATTAATTATAAGGAATACATCTTTGAAAAAAATCGCTACATTTCTAGATTTTCTACCAGTAAACTATGAAGGTGAGTGAGCCTAGTAGAATTTGATATCTTCAGCATGTCCAACTCTTCAGATACTTTTCTCGTAGTCGAGAATAACTCTTTACTGGAAACTCTTGAAGTTTTAAATCAAAATGCTCTCGGTGGACATATTGTTTTATCGAACAATCCCAAATTAAAATATGAACATTTTTGTGTAGAGGTTCTTCAAGATTTTTTTCAAAGATTTCATATATTGGATAATCCTCACGTCTGCGGTAACGGATTGAAATTCATTTTAACATATGCAATCATAATTATAGGATGTGTTATACCCGATGACAAGTTTTTTCAAAGAGTCCTCGATTTACCAGACAACTGCACCACTCTCATCGGTAATATATCATTAACGTCTGATCAACAACCTGCATATGAAAGTCTTGAACGAAAGCTCGGTTCTGTAGAAACTATGTAAGAAGAATCGATAAAATTGTTTTTAAATTTCAAATACTTGAGATATGGCACCATATCTGTGGTTAACACTAACTATAAAGATTTAGGATTTTTAAAGTCGCTCAAAGAAGTTATATATGAGCTGCCAAGAGGTTCTTTGAAATTTCAGTTATGCACTTCTATTATCTCGTTCTAGATTTTAACAAACCGCCTCAAATTTTTATAAGTAAAAATGCTGAAATGACGAAACTTAAGTGGTATCTGCTTGCTCAAACTCGGTTTCTTCAAATTGTCATTCATGAGTATGGATAAAAGAATGGGGGAATTTAATATTTCAATTTTAGAAATCCAAAACTATGTCTTCAGACGAGCGAACACATAGTAGGCGTTGTGTCCGAGCTCGGAGGTAGAATAACTGCACCGTTCTGTGAAGGTAATATTTTGTCATATACATCTGTGTTATAAACTCTTAACGGTACACTTTTAAAGATGAAATTCTTCCCGAACACTTCTATCGAATACAAAATGGAAGTTGGGAAGGAATCGGGGAGAATCATACAGTAATCGTTGGTGATGTGCTGATTAACGAGAAATCTGACATATCTCAATTCATTAAATTCTCTAACATCACCATGATCTATGGCCATTTGATTATTCAGAACACTAAACTTCGAACTAATAGTTGGTTATACAATCTTGAACATCTATATCCCACCAGAGGTTTCTCCTATTTTTTTTAAATATGCAATTCTCTTATTTCAGCCGATGATCCTGCTATACTTGTAGAAAACAATTCTGCCCTGGTAATCTACGAACTAAAAACTAAATATTCGAGAAAGTCTGCCAGAGCTCTGACCAACCTATTGACTTCTTTTCAATTTCAGTAGAAAAGTCATCGTCAGAAACAATCCGAAGTTGAAGCTAACAATTTTCGCTTGCTCTCGATTAGAGGAAATGATAAACTATGAGGTTCACGGTAATTTAGAGAACTGTGGCATAGGTGAAACGAGATGATACAAATTGATTTTTGATTGAATTTTTTCAGTTCATGACAACGGAGAAAGCCGAGTGAACGATTTTTATTTCTTGAAAACTCTGTTAGTATTTTTGCTGATGTCGTTGCTGTGAGTATGCAGCAGTGCGTTGAGTATCCCCAGTATGGGTTGTGTGCTCTTGCACTCGGGCAAAACGTTTTGCTTCCAATCAATTCTACTCAACTGTAAAAACCAGATGAGAAGGCAATAGAGAGAAACTTTAGCAATCGTTATAAAAATAATTTTTTTTAACTTTAAAGCGATGAGAAATTAAATAATTCGATAAAAGCACTCAGAACTTCATCCAATGACTTTTCAAAAGACTTCATATTGGATTTAGAACCCCTGTAGCTGGTCATATTGAAAAATAATCTAAATAAAGAAATATGATTTATGATAATGAAAACGATTAGATTGTACTTGTTTGGTGCTATCCGGTAGAAAACACCATAGCCGTTCGCGCACATCGGAGCACAGAAATTACCATTTTCACTAACTTGATCATCATGTGTATAGCCCACGAAACTGTAAAATGCAGATGGTTGCAGAATAGCATAAGTGATGACTTCTCACCTTGTTGATAACTCGAAATTACCATCACCTCCATTCTCTCTCCATGAACGATGCTTGAATAACGAATGAGTTGGATACTGGGGAAATTGAGTTTCTTGGATAAGTCGCAGTCCCATCAGATGTCTATCAACTCCTGAAACATATAAAGGTATTTATTTATTGAAATGAATAAACCTTGGGCATTCATAGAATTTTTCATCATCTCGTTATGTTTATCGTAAGCTTTACGGAATAGTTTCAGCAATACATCTTTCTGAAAGTTTTTATGGCGTTTTCAGCTTGAATAGAAATTGAAATTACAGGTTGCGCTCTTAGAAACGCTTCTCCAAACTCAATGACTTCTCTCGAACGCCCTCGAACTGTTTCTGTTCTTCCATGATAGAACTTTCTGATTGATGCCGTTTCATAAATAGGTGGGAAGCTTCAATGGAAGTTTGATAATTACTCTGTAATATATGCTTCTTACTAGTCATGCAGTTTCGCGAATGCGATTTGAAGTGCTATCTGAATTACGGTGTCAGGAAAAAGACCAAATTTCTTCAATAATTTGCTTCCATATCCGCTGTATTGAAAGATGTTGGAGTTCAATAACAATTTCTAAAATACAACATGTGAATGAAGCTTAAAAGAAGAGCTTCACCACCTTTTCTTCAAAATTCTTCTTAGCCTGATTTATACTATTGACTATTACATCGTCAGTATGAAAATTCAATAGTTTTGGTTTGTTAAAATCAACCTTCTGCAATGAATCTTGGTGTGAGTATTTCAATTAGATTACTTAAACCTTTGGCAACCAAAGTTCTTTTCTGATTCTAGAATGGGCATGAGCTTCGGCATGAATAGCTACGATAGCGTCTACGTTGCTGTGCTGCAAAGCATCAATAGTTCTGTAGAAAAATTAAAAATATTTACTTCAACAAGCATTGTAGCTTGTCCATCTTGGTAAATACTTATGCATATACTTTTATCAGCCCATTGATAACCTGTGTTGTTCAACATTGACTTGAAAACCAGCTGAAATCATCTCGTTGATGGGTACAAAGTCAAAATAGAGCCCACGTCTCTCCAACATTTCTCATTTTCGTCGATTAGAGATAAACACATAATACTTTCTTCGATAACTTGCATGTGCTCCTTATTATCACTTGAAATTGCACATAAATGCTCATAATTCTAGAAATAAGTCATATCAGTAAAGACTTCTACGCTCTTGTTGTCTTACCTCAGCCCAATCATCTCGGTTCATTGAAGTCAAAGAGATCACAGAATTGTTATTGGCAACGGTATTATCTTTTATATACTTCAATGCCTTTAATGAAATTGTAAGATTAGTGGAACTCTGAATGACAAGCCCTACGTTGTAAAATTCATCGGGAGATTTAGGTTTACCATCTTCATTTATGCCTTCCAACTTCCAAACTTGGCCTTTGTATAAAACCACCACGTGGGTAGGAGACTTTCCTTCTCTCTCTACGAATCAATTGATAGACAAATTATTTGGTCACAATACAAACCTGTCTTGAAAAACCTTTTCATCACATCCTTCTTTTTGGCCGGTGTTCTATTACTTGAAAACAACTGATGATACTGTGACATGTCCCATACTTCACTTTGACGAGAGAACACAGGAATTTGTTCGCTAACAAGGGAATAAATTGCCGGAAATGAAATGATAAAACGTTACGTTCTGATTAAATGCCAAAAGCCAAGCCATTCATGTAGAGCATCAGATGCTCTGTGTAACTGAGAGTCTGCTTCTGGCAACAAGTGTTCGGCTTTCGCTCCAAAACTCAGGAAAGGTATTAGAGGTTCGCGTATTGTCATGTACGAGTCCAACCACCATTCTTCCAACTACAATACGAAAATGACACTGGATAAATTTAAACTCATACTCACCCAATTTCGTTTGCTGTCAGCTCTTTCTTCCAACAAGGTTTGGAGTTTGTTTGTTAGAGGTTGATTTTGAAAATCTTTAACAATTTTTCGAATTTCTTCAATCTGTTTATCATCTTTGAGGTTAGCAGTAGCTTAAAAGTGCAAATGAAAACATAATAATCATTTTACAAAGATACCAGATATGAAGTAAGAGTTTAGTGTCTTGTGTAATGCAGGAACTGGTAATGAAGGAAGTAAGTGTTGAACTGAGAATGTACTCATGTGAGCTCTGAAACTAATAGGTGACAAAGGCAAATAAGAAGATCAAGGAAAAAAGCATAAAAGATGAAGAAGATAATGAAGTTGTTCTTATAGACGAAATGTTTGTAGAGCAATGCTCATAAATTAGTTAATTGCCTATAAACTTTAAGGACATTGGAACTATTTCGCCTCTCATACTGTTCACCTTTGGACATTGAACATCCCGCGTGGAGAAAGGTTTTCCTTAAATTGCCCACCGCGACAGGCTAGAATGTAGCGTTCATTCCTTTGTGTTTCAGATAAGTATTGATAGAAAAATCATTTATTTACAAACTACAAAACTTAAAAAAGACAATGTTAAGAAATGAGATCATGCATATCACTGATAAGTCAAGAACGAAATAGGTTGACAGTGTGAGCCTTGCGAAGGGCTATACATCTTTCGAATCCTTAGGAACGTACTTCTCTTTGCAATTCTTGTTATACTGATAGTCGAAGAATATCTCTTCTCCACTGGGTAAGTCTCTTTTAGCGAATATTCCAATCCTATGTTCGCCATTCACCACTATTATCTGGAAGTGAGCTAGGCGTTACAACAGATATCGGATAAAAAGTGCCTGTGAATAGCAGTTTCCGTTATCTGAGTGGTTAGCAAATCTTATGGTGTTACCCATCCTTGTCGCATCTACAGATTGTGCATTATTCAAAGCTAAAAAGATGATTAGAAATCACCATTACTAATAGAACAAAACTTACCGAATATGAAACTGCATTTGAATTCATCATAAATCAGACCTCTACGTTCGGCTTCCCAACGTGAAATGACTTCCCCGGTATACTCAGCCACCAAGTCGCCCTAAAAAATAAAAAAAGAAATAAACGAGAACTAGTTCAGACCAACTTTGGATGCGGGCTCACAGAGAAAGCATCCAAATCCAGCTACAGAAGACACCCCAACTTTAAGACGTTTGAACTGGCCATTCTGTATCCGACAGTTGTTACAACGATCTTCCTCTTGTTCATTTCCATAAGGCCTTCCGACTTCACTTTTTTTCACTGTAATGTAAGAGTTATCAGTGGAAGTATCTAAAATGTGAATAAAAACTATGAGAGTTCTTACAGATTTCGCTTCCGAACACGCTCGCCAAAACTTTTTCCTGCTGTCTCTTGTAAGCTTGAATACTCAAGAAACGATACTGTTTACGTCTTTTCAATCTTATATCAGTCTGTTGTTCTTTATTTAAACTTCGAAGATCAGTTTGTTCCACCTTCGCTGAAGATATGAGTTTAAGATTCGTTCTTGAATGGTTTTCATAAGCTTACTTGGTAAAGCTCTCTCAATGATGCTGTTGGATCTGTTATTTCCTTGGATGTTGTCGAACTTATTAGGTGCACTCAAACTGCTTAACCAGCCTTCCACACCTTGTGTAAGTTCACAGCTGAAGAAGCTAGGCAAGCAATCGTTATGATCTTCGTTGTATGAAGTTATCTTTGTTCCGGTAACAGCCTTTTCCTGATTTTCTGACTTCGGGCCGATAACTTGTTCCGTTAACGACAGCGAACTTTCTCGCGCATTAAGGTCAAGAAAGTCATCACCCACTCTGCATTTCTGAGCAGCTCCCCCTACTCCCTCTGTCGCATCAATATACACATCCATGTTTTCTCTGTTACAGATAGACAGAGGGAAAACATTTCCAAAACGTTCATCAGCCTCAGAAGAGTTTCCTATAGTGCTAACTGAATGAGTTCCTGTAGATTCTGTACTCATCAGTGATTCTAGGTCACTCGACTGCTTCTTATAGTTCTGCCTTTTTGAAGCTCCCAAAAAGTTATGATCCTCTTCAGAATCAGAAACCCCATAATAATTCAGTTCCGGATCAGGAGTGGGGTAGAGATCAAGGCTAGGTAGAGTAAACTTTGAACTTCCTAATATATTAAATTACATTGTTCTCAAACAAATAGCTTTACCGCAAATACAATTTTTACAATTGTCAGAATCGCATTCCCACTTGGCAAGATAACAAGGACAAAGATTTGTACCACACTGTCCTGTAGAAAAAACTTTTAGAAAGTGTGTGAAAATTATGATTTTAACCTGGGAGGCAAACACATCCCCGAAGCTTTTTTCTACAGTCCTCACTGCATTTACAGAATTTCGTACAAGGTGTGTTTTCTTGAGAACAAACACAATCCGTACATGCTCCTTCATGAGCACAAGGTTTCAACTTAGCACTGTTATTTATCTGAAGATTAACGTTGGGGAGCCATCATACAAAACTATCAATTCTCAAACCTCTCCATTAGTCATTCGAGCCAGGGATTTATGACCAGTTGGCAGATCTTTCATCATTCTGAAACGACAGAAATACCATTTCGTTTTTGTTCTTCAATTTACTTTTTCCTTTCCTTCGACTCTTCAGGTGAGAGAGAAGCTTTATGTCTCTCTAGCGCTTGATTGATAACGAAGATCTAGGAAAACGTAAGAACGCAAAAATATTCTCAAAAACCTCTCGACAAGTCCATTCTCGATTAGAATCGTATTTTGATAAAACTTTGGATAAACAGCAGGATGAGAATCTTGAAAAGAAACTTCCAAAGCTCGAAAACTACGCGTTGTGTCTTTCCTCATTTTTTGAGTTGTGCAGGGTCAGAGCCGGTTGTATTCATAAAAACTTCAAACTAACTTTTTCAAATTCAATAGAAGCTCCAGTAACTTTTGCGATGCTTCTTCGTTGAATAGAGCATCGAGTTTTAGTTCACAATCATTGTCTTCCATATTTTGTTCAACCTTTTTGAATTGTAAAAAATAGTTTGGATTTTTCGAACTTACATCACCATTCTGTTCAGTCATATAACATTCAGGACCACAAGCTTCTACATCTTCATCGTCGCTGGCCATGTAATCTTTGTTAATGGCAACTTTTTCAGTTCCATCCAAAGCTGAAACATAAGATCTGGATTGATAGCTCTTGTGTTTATGGAAACCATGTAGTTCACAAAAAAACTGATTACATTTACCACAATAAAGTGAGCTGATTGAGTGATCTACTTCTTTCTTAACCAGATATCTAGCAATGAAAGAGAATAATTGAAACCAACCACACTTTTAGTATTCTTTTTCATATTTGGTTCTTTCTCAAATCTCCTCACTAACGTAGGATAGCTGAATGCAATCACTTCTAATCATATACAAACTTAGTAACAACCTGTCCTCTAACTCTCCCGTTATCAACTTGGTTGGGAAGAGTTTGTAAATTGCTTTGAAGATGTATGAAGTAGCTGAGAATGGACACAGATATAATGACGTCATGTTTCACCTACGATAATTAGTAGTTGTCCATTGTTTTAAAACTTCTTGAACCAATAAGTAGAGAAGCTCATCTGTGATAAGTAATCCCCATCCTCTTCGTTCACCATGAATTCCCTGAACGTCAATCATATAAGCAACAAAAGATCACAACCTCTGGGTATGCTTTTCTGAGTTCTTGATGGAATCTATCAACGTCTTCGCTACTCTCCAATTGGGGAAAATTAGAAAGTCTTAAAGTATCATCAGTCTGAAGAAAAATTATCGGAAGAGAGTCTTAGAGACATCTACCTGAATATTCCTATCGACGTGAACGTAATATCGCATTCTAGGACACATTGTGCTGGATGGAAACATTTGAACAAGACAAGGGAACATATCATTATCAGGTGACTCTGGCTTCATCGGAGGGATTCATTATGAAAAGCGGATGAGTATACCACACAAACAGTATCGAATCTCTTTAAGCGATGAGGAACTAACAGATCTACAGAAGTTGACAAATTGTTGTAGGTTCTGTATTTTCTAGGCATGAACTGGCGAATATGCTGTTGAAATTCAGACTGAAACATGGTTTTATACAAGATTATAGTAAACTGGACAACCCTATAGTATTTCGCATTGTCATCAATATATTTTTTATATATAGGGGTGTATGTTTTCATCGTTAGTTCTTTAGCATATGCAAAGATCTCATAGTCGAAATCTTCATCCTGTAAGAAAGATGTCAGTGTTTCCTTGACTATTCAACTTTAACCTCGGAGGAATCAGATGTATCAGAAGATTCAAGATCAATAGCTCTTCGATATCCTTCCAAATCTTTATTCAACTCTCCTACTAATTCCTGTAAGTGCTATTCATTGCCGAATATATATTCTCTAATATTACGGATCGACCGCGAGTTTTCGCATCAGAGTTGTATGAGGACAAAATCTTTCTTTTACCAATCTTAGAAAACAGAGTTGAGGCGATGCTGATTTAATTCAAAGCGTACCGCAGATTTACTATTCTCCACCATTTTTCTTAATCGGGATCAGGGTTAGTAGAAGTTAGTATTCCTGAAACTTTACAATCTGGAAATCAATTCATGATCGATCGACCGCTCACCCATCAACTCTATTTTTTTTATCACCCAATCAATAATTCTTTCATTTTATCCATCAAAAGAGAATATCTTTGTACGGTAGTAGGCATTACGCAACCTAATGGAATTTACTCATTATTTTTATCAATAACTCCTTTTTTGTGTTCAAAAATATCTCTGAGAGAACTGTGTTGCCGCTAATCAGCGTCTAGTGTCAGCTTCCAAAACGACAGTTTTGATCGTCTTTGAGCCCCTAACACGTACTTCTATCTACTTTTCCCTTAACTGGGGCTATTGCTCTCTATACTCAAAAGTTCCGACGTCGCGAGCTGCACATTGTTGGAACTACTGTGAATACTCTGTCCCTCCTAATTGTTTTTCATTTTTTGAACTAAACTTGGTTTTAACTATCCTTGTTTGCTGATTGTAATTTCATGATTATTTGTTCAATACGCTTTAGTGATAATTATGTAGACTTAGCCCTTTCAAATATATCCATCATAGCATACGCAATTGTCGGTGCTTATTGAATATTCAATTTTCCTTGCGACGCAAGATGCCGCCTGCAGGCGTGTATTAATCGTATCATTGTTCTTGTATTTTTCTTCGAATTAGTATTACTTCATTGTGTGTCGTTCCAGTAGTTCCAAAAAATGGCCAACGTCGAGATGTCCTTAGATGAAATCATTGCTCTTCAGAAGAAGCAAAGAGGTCCAGGTATCTATATTATTTAACGGGTCAAACATCCTTTCTCGTTTTATAGGAAGAACTGCCGGTGGTCGTAGAGGAGGTAGACAGAACACTCAGAATAACAATAATACTAGAAAGCCACAAAGAAAGTTTGTTGATCACGATGCAGCTCGAGGACCCCATGTCACAGGTGAATAGTAACTTCCGTAATGGTGATAAAAAATTTTCCGATATTAGGTGGCAACCCGAACAAATCAGTTCGTGTCAACATCACTAACTTGGCACCTTCAGTTTCGTCCAGTGATTTAGAGGACTTATTTGGCAATTATAACATTGAAGCGGCCCTTGTTCATCACAATGAGTTTGGTAAGGTTATTGGATACTTCGTTCGAGTAACTAGTAACTTTGTAAAGGACAATCTCTCGGAACTGGGGATATTTATTTGGCCAAAAGAGACGCTCTAAGAGTTATCAAAGATTTTGCTGGTGTCGCTCTAGATGAACAAGTTAGATTTTCGGAAATTATTTTAACGCTTTGTTAATTTACAGATTATGAGAATGTTCTTAGTAGACGGCACTCAGGATTTAGGAAGTAGATTAGATTTTCCCCAAAGATCTCGTGGAGTTCAAAGAAAGGAAGCCCCAAACAGAAATGGTTCGTAATTCCTGAGCAAGTTACCCTGGTTACATCGAATAATTGAATAGGAGGAAACCGCAGAAGAGGAGGCAACAACGCGCCCAGAGGCGGTAACGTTGGAGGAAGAAAAAAGGGTGAGAACAAGCCGAAGAAGTCTGAAGCTGAACTTGATGCCGAACTTGATGCTTATATGAATACTTCTAAAGCCTAACCTATTCGAAAAATCTCAAACCTGTTGAATCTTTGGACACCTTGTTGTGTATTTTGCATATATCTCAAAAGTTGTTACTGAAATCCATGTGTTTCCCATTCGCAATATTTAAATACGTTGTCAATTAATAAAACTCTGAGTATATGAACTCTTTCTTCTGTACCATGTTCTCTATTCATTTGTTATTTTTTCAAATAAAAAAGTAAAATAAATCACATTTGACCTTAGGATGGGCGTCGACCTGTTGGAAAAAACATCGCCTGATAAAGATAGCACTAAAGGTGAGCTGAGGTGTTTGTATATCCTCATTGGCTTTTAGGAATCAAAATCATCGAAGCTCCTGCTTGGCCATCTGAGGATGTTGTAAAAGGATTTTCCGATGATGTGGACGCTGGTCGTCTGATCCATTGGGGTCCCATGATAGCCGCTGCCATCATTGCTTTTGTTTGTTTGTGATTAATGCTTAGGGAGAAAGCTTAATTTCAGATTAGTAGCTCAACTACCCATTTCCTTTTGATGTGGTGGCCGGTAACTACAATAGGAGGCTTCTTGCATTTTTCTATTTACCTTTTCTGGAATTACTTAACTGCTTCTAACATGATAAATGCTTCGAGTAATGGCCCAGGACGTGTACCATTAGGTTGGACCCCACCTGAGGTGAGAAAGAAACATATAATTAAACGAAATTTTTCTTGATCAGAAAAGTCATGAAGATTTTTTACAATATTGCACTCCTTGTAAAGGATATAAAGCTCCAAGATCTCACCATTGCTCAAAATGCAAAAGATGCTCTCTTAAAATGGACCACCACTGTCGTGAGTTCTTTGAATCTTGTTCACTTTTCATTTCTCTTATTTTTCAAGCTTGGATAAACAATTGCGTCGGGCACCGAAATCAAGCTTGGTTTGTGAGGTTCCTTGTCGGTGCTATAGTCGGATGTATACACTCTGCTGTAATTCACTGTATATGCTTTTATCATGCTATTCACATAGTACGATTTTACCTCATTTATTAATTGATCGAATTCTTCTCTCAGTCTTATTATATGAAGTACGGTGATGGCACCGAGCCAGTAATCGAAATGAATATATGGGCTGCCGTTGCCTTGATTGGGTCTTTCGGGTTCTCATGTGGAGTTTCAATCGGGCTCTCTGTACTTCTCTACATGCAAATCAAATATATACTCAAAAACCGTACTGGAATAGAGGAATACATAGGTGAACTGATCAGGCAACTTGATTCTTATCATCTTGCTTTTAAGACAGCAAAGCCTTAGCTCGTAGAGATGATGATGACGATGATGAGGAGGCTCAATGGGTATATCCATATGATATCGGATGGAGAAGAAACTTGTATGAAGTTTTGAGTACCTTCTCAGGACAGTAAGTTACAGAAGCGTTTATCTTCATGTTTCTTGTTAAGTACTCTCGGTAATGGTATATGGTGGCCAGTCGTCGCAAGTTGTGATCAATATACTTTAACTGTGAGTGAGAACCGGAGTTTATAATTCTGTTTATTTTTCAGAGTGAGCAACTACGACAAAAAGAGTTGAAACGTAGCAATGCCAGAATTGTCCTTATACAAGGTTTGAAAACATCAATAATTGGAAATCAGTTCTCTCTCTCTCAGATGATTTCAAAGGAGGGGTATTTGGCAGTATCAAGTTCGGGTTGAAAGTGTTCTGTTGTCAGCCCTGGTCTGAAGATCCAAGAATACCGGTAATAAAATGAATTTCGGACAGGAGGCATAACGTTTCCGTTGTCTAGGTGAACAAGTCAGAAAAATGGATTGTTACTCGAGGACAAAAGCATTGGTTATATGGACATAAGAAAGGATCCGAAAAAACTAAAGGATATTTCCCTCGTTGTATTGCTCAACTCTTGCCAGAAAAGCCATATGAAGATACACCTTCTCCTCAGAGGGAAGTGGATACCGGTGTGACAGAAGAGGAACCCTCTTCAACCTAATCTAATATAGAAAAAAAGTTTTTGTTCTAATGACCAAATCTTTCGACTAAGTCTTTGTATGTGCCTTTGCCTAGTTTGTAATTGCTCTTTCAAAAACGCCTTACTTAAACCTGTGAATTTTTGACGTTCGTTTTATAAATTTCATAAAGATCTGAAAAATAAAAGATTTTTGTTTATATTAACTTGTTCAGTATGTTATCAAAGAATTTCAACATTTCTCCTAATGAGTAAGAAGTATTCAGAATTGTTTAAAGAATTTTGTTACAAATTATACGAAATTGGTAATATCGTGTAAAAACATAACTTCATCATCAAAAACAACGAAAAGAACAGTAATAGTTTCACGAGTTCTCATACTAACTTTGACTCAATTTGAACACAACCGTACTGATAGCCTTTCAATGAAGAAATGAAACGAAATAAGCCCCTACGTAGCCTACATTAGCATATGCGCATCTGTCATTAAGATGGAATTCTAATTCTTGTGGTGTGTGTCATGTTAATAGCTCACCTAACACGCCATTAATTTCCCGATGAGAAATACACAGTCACTGTCTAGATCATATTTTGAATATAGTATTGAGATAAGAATCTTTTCATCGTGAGATACTGCTAGCTTCTTCCTACAATTTAAAAGACAATCATTGATTTCTTTCGAAGTCCTGGCTCCGCCTTCCTACTAGTGAGAGAGGAGGGGCATATGTGTGCTGGCCTTTCCTCCACACTATTCTATTGCCGTTTTGATCCTAGCGTTACTTATGATTAATACGGAATAAGTCCTTTTTTGTACAAAAGCCTTTCTTATCGATGATAAGAGTAGTAGTTTACTGACTAGATGGATTATTGCTTCATTTTATTGCTGCTGTTCACTCTGCTCCCATCCCAGTTATATTCAGATTTTGGTATTTGCTCGTGACGTTTAGTCATTCGACCGAACTCAGGTTCTCTGAGATACGTCAAATATATTTAAACGACGGTGGTTTTGAAATTGATATATTAGGTTATGGAAGTGGACGGTTGTGTGACAACTGTGAAGACGATTGCCATATCTTCTTGATTTTTCACATAGATATACGAACCCTCAAAAGGTTTTGATGTTATCGTAGAGGATGAAAATTCGCGCATTACAGCCTAAATGATTCTTGAAACTAGATTCGATGACTCACCTTACATTTTTTTAAATTTCATAAAGCGTTCTAGTGCATAAACTCCTGTTGTTTGTTTTTGATGTTCTTGACGTGTGAATGTGAACCATTTTTTTCTTCTTCTGAGTTTTCTATTCTCGCAGACTTTGGTATGTCTCGTAACAATACTAAGTCATCTTGTAGTTTTTGTCAACTCTTTGTTTCTCATCCTTCATTCGATCATCCTCATTTTATTTTCCTTTACAGCGATGTATCACCTTGACGTAGACCAAATCCTGGAAGATTATGCCTGGAAGGATTTTAGAGACATCCAATCTGTGAAAAAGACTCGATTGGATGACTTCAAAAACTTAGACAGAGATGATTGTGAATTTGTCATTGTAAGTTTATTTCTTGTAATTTATGAAAATATGTTGGATATTGGGACTTTGACATGACAATCGCTGACTATTATGTAATAGCCCTAAGTGTTGTTTGCCAGCTGTCAGCTTGTCGTGCTCTTCGAGCGGACTTCGACAGCCAAACCACCTGATTTTTCTTCGAACCGACTTTTCTCGAATAATTAGATCAAAATAATTTGATTGTGAGCTCTTTTGGAGTATTGTCTTCGCACATTCAGATGAAATCCAGAGAAGAGAGAATTGAAGTGAAAATTGGATCAGGGCCATACTCTCTTTCAATAACCGCAAGCGGCGCAGTATCTTACTGATAATCTTCAGGCGTTTTTTTTGAACGAGAGAGAAAGAAAGAGAGAAGCCGCCTGAAATCCCTGAAAACGTTTTTTTTTCTTGAAACCAATCTTCGTCAAGATGTAAACTTTTTTTGAAGCGATGTTGACCACGATACTAGTGGAAACATCGATGACCTTGTGTTTATTCGAGGCGGTGCCAAAATACAAAACATGACTTCTAGAAAGAGTTCGGTATAAATTCTTATGTATGTCCTCCAATCTTTCTTATTCTATAGCATACTCGGCGTAAAGAGGATTAATCAGTTGAAGATTATCGTCAAACATAAGAATGAGAGAAAGAGGATGGAAAAAGAATAGGCAGACGTAGAAGAAGAGAAGAGGAAAAGTGGCAGTGAAGAGGAAACATTAGGGAGGTTTGATGTTTCTTTCCAAACGGAAACAGAAACAACTGTAAAGTTTTTTCTCACTGAACTATAACAGGGATGTTTTACGTTTCAGCTTTTATTATGCTCGATGATGATAAGAAATTGATTGACTGCGTGAGTCACAGGGTCCTTATGAAAGTGAACAATGGGAAGAGTGAGGGTACTGATTTAAAAGATGAGAAAGAGGAAACTCCCATGGGAGAGATTTTGTTCTCGGATTGTGATAGTCTTGCATCTTCTCCTATGTATATTTAGTTCTCTGTTTCATTGCTATTTAGCATTCATTTTACAACTCGGGCGATATGTGTGAGTAAGGCTAACGAGCATTGCCTCCCTATTCAAGTCTATAAAAGGAAACTTCAAGTTTCAACCCCCATTTTTAAAGATAAAGGCCCAGCCATGCTTACAATGAGAGAGACGAGGGCAATGTTTGAATGTTGAGAATAAAAGTAAATTTAGTTGATGTCGTTTAGAATATGAATTATTTGTTTATTTAATGAGTATTAAGATTAATATTAATGATATGTGGCTGATGAATAAGCTCAGTGTCGAAATGACATTTCCAATTTATGATGAAACCTCTTAGTTGATTCGGTTTCCGAAATTATAAATTGCAAACAACCGGGCATCGATTATGCAAACTATAAGACCATTTCGGAAGACCAATTAGCTTTGGTGAAACACCTTTTATGTACGCGTAAGAATATACTGCTGATTAGATGGCTGCATAGTTTGAGGGAAACGAAACGCTGACACAAGCATAATGAAAAGCTGGGGAACTTCATTCTCGAATGGAAACACTTATTGTTACTTTTAGTAGTAGAAGCACTAGAATAACTGCCATTTCCGTAATTATGTGAGCTGGTCAGCTTAAACAGGAAGACGGAGATGGCGAAGATAGCTTAAGTCTCCATATCTCATCTGTGTCATTCGAGATGCTTTAAGAAAAAGAACGTTTTCCTGAATGCTCGAGTTGGGGGATTTTTAAACATTTTTTTTCTTTCAGAATCGAAAAAATTTGGTGACGATCCATAATGATCCCTCATATTCTCATATGATGCCTGCTGGCGCAAAGCCTTACACTCTGTTCAAATCTGTTTATACAAACAACACTGATAGGTTATTTGTTTGATATTATCAAAAAAGTTATTTGTTTTTTTTGTTTAGACCTCAGGAGTATTCCTTCAAAACTGAGAGAACTACTGAGTCGCTTTGCGCTGTTGCTAGAGAACAAGGCTATACAATCGGTGCTGAAGCCGAACTAACTCTGAAAACACCATGTAAGTGTATAGTATACAAGAGATTGTAAAACATCTAGTTAACACCTAAAGTAATTGAAAAAAAAACACTTTAATTGAGAAAACAACAGGCGGGTACGGAGAGTGCAAGTAGGATCATGGATCTTTTTCTCACTCTGTGGTAGCGCTTTCTTATAAATTTAGAATTATCATGTTTATTAGTTCGAAATTGCGTTTGCGAATTTATTCTCCATGTTTTCAGCTTTTAATCCCAATGGATTACGTAGCTTGCTTGCTTATTCGTTTTCCCCTGCTTAGCTCCATCTTTCTTTCTCTCAATTCGAATGATTTCTTCTAATTGGTGTTTAATTTCTGCAATGCACATAGTAATGTTAATAGGTTCTGGCCTTAGGGATATTGATGGAAGAAATTTTCGAAAATGTGTTGAATATTTCTATTTTTTATGGTGTCGCTTTGCAGGTGAAATAGCTGAGCTGAAAGCTGGGTTCAAACATGAAATGCATTTCAACAATCTCAGCGAAAATTGCCAAACTGAAGCTCTTTCATGGGGAGTAGACAGCAATGTGCAGGTTTGATTCGCAAACCATGGATCTATATGAGTATCTCTAATTAAGGTTCCTGCACATTATATGACTGAAGCTAGTATTGTTATCGAAGAAATGAACTATCGTGGCTCTTACTCAGTCACTAGCAAACTGTTCGGCGCTGTCACCATATCAATTCGTAGGTGAGGTCATTTCTCTTGTGTCATAAAGGGGGTTTAATTAATCTGAATTTGCATAAAGAAGACAAAACCTTGATGTCCTGACAAAGATTCCATAAATGGAAATGTGAGAACGCAACTGTTTGCCACACGGGTCTTCCCTGTAGGATGCCTAGCAAAACCTGTATTTGCTCACTCTTTCCAATCTTAGGGGCAATAAGAATAATCACAATTTCTGTCAGCAAGTCACAATATGGGGTTTTGAGAAGAATGAGCGAATTCAAAAACTTCAAAAATTTAATTTTTAAGGTTTCTGACCACTTGTGTGGGACTCTCTAAATGTAAATTTTGACGTTGCGATGATTCAGGCCAAGTGAATATAAAAGAACAATTATGTTTTTACATGTAAACACTATCCTAAACGGAGAGACATAAAAGAAAAGAATGAATAGTGATGAATTGACATATTGATGTGTGAGGTACTGTTTTGAATAGACTCTAAAGAAAGGGTTTGCCTTTACCTTTACCCTACTATTCTCTTCCAACCAGATGATCGGCATACCTTTAGAATGAGAGTTTAACAGCTTTGTTTAAATTCATATTGAATTGAATACACACATGACGGGGGGAACTGTTCGTGTGCAATAATTGAGTTCATAACTTCTATTTTCAGACGCAAAGATAATGTTCTAGTTCATGTTGGTCGAGCTCAGGTTTCCGAAATATTCCTAAATCTTCTCAATTCATCGAACTGCAAGAAGGAAGTCAGTTTGATTTCAATTTTTCGCAACTAAGTTTTTCTATCATTCAGATCAAGCAAATAGTATCCGTTACACCAAACAGGGAAGTTCATCTGCTCAGCAAAGGAACTTGCCAGTTTCAGGTATTATAGATCGTTTTCTTTATATCATTAGTTCATTTGTTACAGTTCGCTATGAATCAACGTATAGATCTCCAGGAACGGCCGATTAAAAACACTTAAGTATTTATATTGTTGTACTTAAAGTAAATCTCTATTTATGTGTTCACAATACTCATCAAAACATTAATTAAGTCTTATTATTGAATGAAAAATTTATTTCATATGTTCTGTATATTGGATATGTAAAGAAGGTGACTCATGAGATTCATATTTAACCGCGTGGTGGGACGAATGGAGAACGTCCTCCTCCGTATGGTGGATTGACTGGTCCACGCCCGAAGCTTGGTGGTGGGTCTGGTCTGTTGTCAGTGCATCTTACCTATAACATTTTAATAAGAAAAATTATTGAAAAAATTCAACTCACAGAAGTCTCTCCACGCTCCTTGACAATTTCGCATCTGTCCCATCCGTCTCTTCTTGGGCACATAACATCGCAAGGGTCTCCACGAAGATTGCGGTCGACTGAAAAAACAATTTTATAATACTGCTTTCAAAGGAGGTGAAGAGCTTGCAAGTTGGCAAAAGGCTTGCTGATAGTGAAATGCTTACCTCTGTCGAAACGGTTGCGTCTAGCCTCGATGGTGTTAAGGGCGACAATAGCCAAGAACTAAAATAGGTAATTATTGAACGAAAGGTGGAAGAACAACTTACCAAAACTAAGAGGAGCTTCATATTTCTTGATCTTTTCATCGGGTACTCACGCTTATATACTACGACATGTGTAATAATGCGCGGACAGAAAGTAGAGACACTGTGATCTTTGCTGCAGCCTTTTGCTGCCCTTTTTCGACAAGCTGTGCCGACAATGAGTTGAGCGTTAACAATTTTAAAAGAAATAGTGTGTTTTACGATGATGATAACGTGAAGAACATGCTATTCTTTCTTTTCCGCCAATGTATTAAGCAAAGAAGAATCATCTTAACACAATCAATCATAGCCAGAAAGGTTTTTCCTAACAAGGAAATTCAAAGGTTTTTCTCTTTTCTTGTGCTGATCTCTGCCGCCGAAACTAATGAATATGATAGTTAGCGAGCGGGAAGATCCAGTCACTTTTATTTCGCACCAGGGTTCAATGAAGACAATATCTTTTGCCCGACAGTTCGCTTAACAACAGAAGCAGTCACTTATCATCTATTCACCAAAGGCAAAGGTTGGTAACATGCATTCGATTTCTAGAAATTATCGTTCTCTAGTTCTCGCATCAAAAAAAACTATTTGAAAAATACGAATGATAGGCAAGCAACCGGTTGTAGGTCATGATATATTTAGAAAAGCTCTTTAATAGTCACGTCTTCAGCAGTATGCTCTTGGCTGAGCAGACAAGCTAATACAGGGTAGGAGAGAACCAAGTAACCAACAAAAAACTTCTTTCAAGGAAGGTGAGATCATCTGAAGCAGACCGTATAGCTCTACAAGGGTCCCTCGCCTCGGAAGGTAAAAAAAACCTTTCGAAAACGTTCAGAAATGACTTTCCCTACTTCAACCTTTTATTACTAAAAACGGAGACCTAACCGGCTTTCAATTCCACAATGTGACTTTAGTCTACCAGATACGGAGGTAGCCCATCCGCAGGTTGGTTCACTAATTTCTAGCCCGCCCACAGAAGAGCATATGTTGAAAGAGGACAATTCTAGAGATCCAGAGAATATGAGAGCTAGCTATCGTTCTATTACTCCCAAAAGAACTAGTCTCCCAACTCGATATAACCCTCATGGTCTTTTCATCGTTTCACTTGTCGTTTTTTCATTTTACATTTAAGTGATCATCACTCCCTTAATTCATAAAAATAATGTTTCATTATTAATAATGTTGTCAATGGTTTGAGCTTTAAACTTTCAGAAGTTAATCAGACGCTCATCTAGTTTTCATTGAACGAAATGGGTTCGCCCGTTCCCATTCTCCTATCTCTATTTTCTTTGGTGTACTGCTGTGCCCCACCCGGCTTCGTTCAGAGCAGTGACCCAGGTACATAATTTTTTAAAGTGACATTACTAAAAATTTTCTTTTAAGCTCAAGTTGGAGCTCGATGCTCAGATCTAATTCTTTATCCCGTATCAGCCGTTGATCAAAGTGACCAGTACAGGTGAGCGCAGTAAATTGTCAAAGCTTGATGAAATCTCTTTTCTAGATTCGACTACAGCGACGTTTCATTTGGTAATACACATGCTCAAGGAGCTACAGTCGCTATAACATGTTCAACTGGAGGACAACCTGCGACAGTAGAAGGATACGATCAAGTTTGTTCTCTACAATCAATTCCAAAAAACTCATATTTCCTCGATCACTTTCCATTATTGCTGTGCCTACTCCATTCTTGTTTACAAGGGTGCATATGAGGTTGTAGAAAATAGACAATTATCACCTAACTTTTGGATATCCTATGATATTTGAGGGGAATATATCCTTTCCCCTGTCCTAGTCAAATAATAGAGTATGAGCAGTTCATAGTTCAACTATACGAAGTGGTGCTTCGTCTTCAAAATGCTCCTCGTTTCTAAGGATACATTCATAATATGTCCATCTATGGAAACATTCATTCGTTACTTCACGCATTACATATCACCCTGTTATGAAAGACAATTCTTTTTTCTTCTAGAATACTAACAAATAATGTTTCAGCAAAGGGCATCAATCTCGGCTGCACCAAGTCTACTAGCCACTTGTACTAATGTCGGTGGAAGTCAATACACTTGGACGATATTGGGCAGAATTCTCCAGTTCGTCGATTGCAGGTTTTGAGATAGAGGAAAGAATTCAAGAATGATTTTCATCTCAAAAATTATAAGCAATACTCATTAAATTCACTTACGAAAAGAAGCTTTCATCGATCTTCATAGAACTTTTTTGTTCACAGTCGAATCTCTTTCAAACTGCTTTTAACTCCGTATATATTGTTATTAAATACTTCCTAATAACTTGTACTGTGTGGGCTTGTATTCATATTGGGTCATCAATTCAATAAGATTGCCAATCAAAACTCTGTCATTTTCAAAAATTCAAAAGCTAATTTGACTTTAAAATCCGGTTATGATACTGGTCACTCTCCCTCCACATCCACCAATTGGTTTGCAATAACCGCAACTAGGCCGCCAATATTATAATTACCGATGGACTGTCAACCTTATGAAAAGGTAAAATAAAATTGAAAGTTGACTTCCGAAAAGTAGACTTGTCCGATTATTCACACGTTATTTTGTGACTCTAGTCCAGTAGTATGGGTCTACATACGAAAGAAAGCGAAATTAAGATTTATTCGCTTATCGTAGGTTTCCAGTATAGCGTTAAGGTGGTTGCTCCTGGACATTCAATAGAGAAGAAGAAATCTCGATCAGATATGTACCGAACGGTAAAGAAACATATTTTCTTTATCATTTATGAAATAATCTACAACTGTTCACACTTGAAGAATACCATTTTTGGTCATTCCCTACTCAACAGAGTCATTATTACGCATTCATGCGATTTTGTATTAATACACTCTGAAGATGAATGCATGTTACGTATCTTCATCATCAAGAGCATCACATAACAAGGTTATCAGTAATCATTTTTATCTCATCTTGTACTTTTCGTTCACCGAACCGTTTCCTCTATTATTGTATTTTTTTAAAACTTAAGCAGGCTCTTCGGAATACATTTATTTAAATTTGTATACAATAAATAGAAAACGAGACTGCCTTTCCGAACAGTCTCATGAAACCCATGGATCTACACAAAATCATATGCAAAACCTTAGAGCTCGGTAGTGAGAGAAGAGTAAGTTGGTGGGACGACAACAGTTGGGAATCCAGGCTTGTCTGGGCGGAAAAGTTCCAAAGTGGTTCCTTCCTTATCAATGGTTGCAATTCTAACAACTCCTCCAGAAGATCTGAGGAAAAACATACATGATACTATTTGTTGTGATACGAACTCACCCATCTCTGAAGACAGCAAGACCAACAGCTTGCTTAACGATAGCTTTACATTCTTCCTTTGTTAAATTTGGCTTCCAAGCGTTATCCAAGAATCCCTTAACTCAAAAGCTTAAAAGGAAAGCGAAAAAAATAATACTTGGACGAAGGTAGATCCAGATCCAGAAGCAGTGCAGCGTTGACGAGTTACAAATCCTCCCAAAGGAATAGCGAACAACTTTAAAATTAATTTGTAACAAGAAAAACAACCAGTAATACTCACTTGACCACCTTCATTGGCATCCCATCCAGCAACAAGAACGGAAGCTGAGAGAGACTCTCTACAAAGAACAACACAACTATCAAACACATGTTAAATAATTTTTACCTATATTTATGCAAGAACCAACGGAAAATTTGAGTAGCACGGTAGACAGAGACTGGAGAACGTTCTCTCAAACTGTAATGAAATTGAAAAGTTCACCAAAATTAATCGAAATATCAAACCTGAAAACCTCAAGATAGTACTTTACAATATCAGCAATAGCTTGAGTATCAGCAGCAGATCCTGATCGGCAAACAACCAAATTATCGGTGATTGGAGTAATTTTGTTGGTAGCACGAGAAGAGATGAAGCTTCTGAAACAATGCCTTATTGAACACAAAATTTACGAAAAAAGAGACAAACCCAGCACTTGTTCTGGAGTCGGTTCCGACAACTACTCCACCTTCATATTCCATAGCAATTAAAGTTGTCTAAAGAAGAATTTGCAAAGAGAAACGTTACAAAATGACTTACACCAGTACTAATAGGCTCATGTGGATAGAACCCAATAGCTGGGATAGCTTCTCGCTTCTCATCAGGCATAGTATCCATGACTAAAATTTAATTTGCATAAATTGAAGTAAAAATTAACAAAACACCAAGAAGTTATGAATGGCAGATTTTAACGAAACAATAAAACGATGATTATACGATAGTTGAAAAGTAAAGGTTTGTTGGAATGCGCCAATGCGAATGTTGACTGCTCCATTGTCAAAAGATGACTATTTGAAATAGCGCTGAGATACCGTAGTAACATGCACATCAAAAATTTACTCACGAGGCTGGTGGAACTTTTTTAATAAGTTAATGCTTAGACTGTCTATCTCCATGTATTCCTTTAGGATATATTTTCATAAAATATTCGTCAAACATTTTATAAATTATATTTACGTGTTCTTATTTCTTAATTAAAAAGCAAATATTTTTACAAATCTTTCTTAATACTGATAACGAACTTCATAACTCTTTAGGTGAACCATGTCCGACGTCGAATGCTATAAATGCCAAACTATTGGCCATATCTCTCGCAATTGCCCAAGCGGTCAAGATGATCGTAGAGGAGGAGGAGGAGGACGATGTTGGTCTTGTTTTTGGGTGTAAAGCGCTTTTTAGGTAATACTTCTCGCTTCCTCCGAAAGTCTTAGGTTTTCTGACCTTTTTTGTTCTGGTTGGAGGTGTTGAAGTGCGCGGCTTATGGGGGCTTTATCTTGAAATTTTTTTTTCATTTTTTTCATTTTAGCCTGCTACTCATGCGGAGAAAGCGGACACATTTCTCGCGAATGCCCACAAGAAGAACGAGGATATTCTCGCAGAGGTAACTCTGGTGGCTCTGGAGTTGAATGCTATCAATGCAAGGGAACCGGACACTTCGCTCGTGAATGCCCGTCGGGTGCACGCTCAAACTATGGTAAGAAAATTGAAAATGAATTTTAATTTTGTTCTGTATTTCGCAGGGGGAGGAAGCGCAAGACGCTGCTACAACTGTGGTAAGTCTGGCCACATCTCTCGTGAATGTAGCGAGACCGGATCTGTTGATGCCAAGCGCTGTTACAATTGTCAAGAAACAGGACACATCTCTCGTGATTGTCCCAAGACTGAATAGATCTCTAACATATTATCTCACTTCTGAGTAACCAGATTTCAAAAAATCGTTGTTTTTTTTTCAAACCTGTGTATTTTGATGTCCTTGCTGAACTTTTATGCTAACCTCATGTATGGGATACTTGCGATTTTTGCAACATTCATTGTCGAAAGTGGGAAAATATAAAGAGATTGTTTTTTCTTCTTTTTTTTTTCTGTCGGAAAATGTTAAAGCCTCATTAGGTTAGCTCTGCTTTCTTATAAGGCCATAGAAAATGCAGCTAGGTGGGAGACGTCAGTCGTTGTTTTGATTTAGCGGAGAGTCGTTGTGCCAACTCAGCTTCGAACATTCTTAGTTCAAACTACTGTTAGTGAATAACTCTTCCGCTCCTTTTCGCGAAATTTGCAATTCTTGAACTTTGTGGGAATTCTTTTAAACCCTCGAACCTTGTTTTGTTTTCCTTTTTTTTGTTGAAGCTAGTCGTGAGTCCAAAAGATTTATCATGCTTTGTTTTACCACCTAAGCAAGCTATTTTGATGAATTCCCTGATGATCATATTGAATAAGCTGAACGAATTGAGATATTGGATGAGTTATCTGTCTCAACAATATTTTCATCATATTCCAAGTTGTTCTGATAGTTTTGAGACTTAAACAAGTTGGTGAAGGAACTGAAGCTAAACATGAAACTCAAGTTCTTTCCTTCAACAAGCTTTCTCTCCATCAACAAGCAGAAATCATTCATTCCAATTGATCAGATATATTTAGCTTATGATGATTTTTACAAAATTTAAGAGAATAGAACGTTTAGAATGGTGCTTAACTGCATAGCACTGAATTATCGATAGAGTAATTTTTCTCGTACTAGGATTATTTATCCTGTTGTGAGAAGAGGGAATTCACGTAGCCATGCGGATAGGGAGGGACGACGGCGAGGTTTCCATGGCAACACTTTCATTCGAGAAAAGCCCTGAGCAGACGATTAAGCCATAGCTACACCTGCATAAGGCTGTTAGTTGGAGCTGAGATCATCAGTGTTGTAAGATGCCTTGGATCTGTTGTGCCCACAAATCACGTCGTTCCAAACGTGAAGATCAATACAAAGTCAAAGAAAACTCTAGTAACACGCAGGAAACACAGTTCTCATGGTAAGTGTTAGACTTTTCATTTCAGAAAATACTTTTTATGTTTTCCCATAATTCGATTTTGAAACAGCTTGCTCAAGCTATGTACTATGCATTTCCTTTTCTCAATAATCTTATTCTTTTTTTTCAGGGATAAACGAGAGCTGTCAAATGTGGCCAACCTTATTATGAAAGATGTCGCAAATGGAATCGAACTGAGAAAAGATTTCAACGGTGACCCAGCTGTTATTGAGAATTGCAAAGTTTTTATGTTCTTCAAGAAACCTCATTACAATTTTCTAATATAGGAAAGCACAATAATAGTTTTGAGCCATACTGCCAGTATTAACATAGATGATTGTCGTGATTGCCTCATAGTCCTTGGACCATGCACTGGAAGGTAAGCTCTTTTCAATGATTAAACGAAAAACTACGCATAACTATGTAGTTAATCAGAATGATAACTAATTTTATAATGCAACCGATCTGAGCATCAAATGCTACACAATTGAAGATTTGAAATGGCTTCACCAATATGCTAATTAGTGTACAAACTGATCATTGCATATTTTGCAAAGTAGCAGTAACGACAGTTAGAAACTTTGATAACGAAATGTCAAAAGAACATTTTCGGATATTTTGGAAAAGAAACAAAAACAGAGATTGTCAAATTCAACTGATACTATTCGGCTAACTGCTTTGGTTGATAATACAAACCAATTCCACTTTTTACTGATAATTGGTTTTTGAAGTCCATCTCTGTTTTTCTCGAATTACAAACTAATCTTGAGAAGAGAAGAGTTAATTAATTAGAAACGTAGATCGTTCTCTGTTTCATCTGCAAACCATTTTTCTTCAAAACTTTTTTTTTCAGCGTTTTTGTGCGAGATTGCGAATCGTGTACGATTCTTACAATTTGTCAACAGTTTCGTACCCGTGATTGTCACGGTCTGAAAGTTTCTATCCGATGCATGTCGGAACCAATCATCGAACAATCAGATGACATCACTGTATATCCGTTAACATATTTCTATGAAGGCCTAAAAGGTGAGAACAACTCTCATAGAGTATATGAACTATTGTTCTAGGAGATTTGGAAAAGTCTGGATTACGTCCTTTTTATAATCAGGCTGTGTCTGTTCATGATTTTACACCTGAAAAAGGAAATCCGCATTTTAAAGTTTTAACTGAAATTCTAGAGCTGGTAATAATTAGATACATGTAATGCATTCATTAAAGCTATTCTGTATTGCAGAGTAAGAAGGAAGAAGATGATTTGAAAGTGCATGGTGTTCGAAATAGCAAACATTACACTCTTTTCCCACTTCCTGCTGTACATGGATGTTCTGTAAGTTCATGAAGCTTCATTGGCATTCTTTAAACCAAACAAAACCCCTGATAGGTGTAAAAGCAAACTTATTGAAAACTTTTAGACAACACTGTCATATATGGGGAAAGCTGCGGATTTCAGCAATTTGAACTATGAAGAATGTCGTCAAAAGTAAGTAGAACCATGTCAAGTCTTATACTTGTCATTATTGCGGATACAACTTACCAGCTTTAGGCTGCTGGATGACATTGAGGTCACTTCCAAAATGATTGTTGGTTGTGTTTATGATGTGGATTTATCAGAAAAAGATTATTCGGAATTAGGGATTCCAATTAATGATATAAGTAGGTTTCATTATAAGAAAAATATATTTTTAAAGTTAGTGACCCTCGATATCGTTTTGAAACAGCTTCTCGAGGTCGCTTCTCGACCATTTTGGAGTTGTTCCCCGTAATGTGTTTTCCGAGAAAATAGGTTGTTAAATGAATTGCAAGGTCAACAATTTTTTTTATGTAGCATTTAGTTATTAGAAGAAGAAACTATCAAAGCGCTACGAATTGAATTGACCTGTGACGGAGCTGATAGAAAGATTTGATTTTTATAGTCAACAATCAGTCTCAAAGAACCATATCGTAACTTAACCGTTTTTAGGATAAGTGTGAAAATCATTGAACGTTTCACTTGCTTGGGCGTGATCTGATTTCGAACCCAATGTGAACTTGTTTATAGAAAGAAAAAAAAAAGAAAATCAAATCATTTTCCATGACGTATCACAATAGACTATCCATCTTTACCAGTGGGGTCATTGTCATGAGAATCTATGTGTATGTGGCAGGAGAAAGACCTTTTAGTATTGAACTTTTGAAAAATAAACTCATTGTAATTTGAAATCAAAGACCACAACAGTTTGCGAAGACGTTAAAAACCATGTTTTAGATGAATTCAAAAAGAAAGTTTATGTCCTCTCATGAGTTTGTGTCATTTCAGCGCGATTGACCATAATTGGCATTGTCGGTGATGAGATGGAGTTCAAAAAAATTATTCGGCGACATCCTCTATTCAAGTTGATTCCTAAAGATTCGGGTAATGAATTGGTAGCTGCTATGCGCAAGACAGGCATCTGTCGAACAGATCCAGATGAGAAGGATCGAAGTTAGAAGTTAAGTTGCCATCTCAATTCATGGTTTTAACAAAGATGGTTCTCATTCATATTTTTTTGTTTGTAAAGAATATATATATCTATATATATATATATATATATATATATATATATATATATTGATGATTATTAATATTGCATGTGTATATGGTATATATTGTCAAATAAACTACTTTGGATATAAAACTGATGGCATAAACAGATTTCCCACAGAAATAAAAATTATCGTTTGAGAATTTTGTTTTATCGGAAATCCGTACAGAGCTGTGTGTTTTCATGCTAGTAGCTGTATACTATGGCTCAAATGATGCGGCTTCTCCTGATATCAACGATGCTAATCAGCCTCATTTGTTCATATGAGGATGTAACTGGTATTTTTCCTTTTTTTTCATTTCCATTTTCCTACAATTCTGAATGTAAACGAAATATTTGTTTATGCTGATTCTGAGTTGCTTTTTCGATTTGTTCGCAGTTTTACCACCAACAATTAGTTGGCAAAATAAGTTTGAACGAACTATTAAGCAGTTTCCCCCCCATAATTTTTTTTTCTTGTCTCCCCCCCCTCTTAGTTCCTCTCTGCTCTTCTCTCTCTCACGCTCTCTTTGCTTTTATTTACTCTCTCGCTCTCTCTATTTTTGTCTCTCTGTCTCTTTCTCTCTCTCTATCTCTCTCTCTTTCGCTCTCTCTCTCTCCCTCCTTTCTTTCTCTCCCCCCCCTTATTTCTCTCTCTCTCTACCTCTATCACTCCATTTACTTGTCAAACCACAAAAGTGATGATGAGACACAGATGGAAGTGAGACAAGAAGAATAAAGAAATGATACTTCATAGGCAACGGAATAAAAGTAGAAAGGTGGAAAAAACGATGAGAGAAATAAAAGTTTGTGAGAAATTTTTAGACTTCAATGAGGTCTGCTGGAACCTTTAAGCCATACACAGGTGTTGTGTCCTTGAAGGCTTCTTCCCATCCTGGCAGAAGAGGCAGAAAGAAATGAAAGGAAAATAAAAAATAAACCATCGAGAGGGATTGCAACAGAGACGAAAGTTCAGCAGCTTCTACGAGAAAAAGCAGAATATGACAAAAAGTAAAGAAGAGTTACATGAAAGAGATAGAGTGAATGAAGAATATAGAGAGCTATTAGAAACAGAATCAACTTAGATCATATCGAACTATACGTTTCACTTCCCATTGTTCTTCTTTTTTTCAGATTATGCGTATAATCAATTTAATACTCAAAGAAGCTGCTGGAGATTACCATACATGACTACAGTTCTGGACAAACGTTGCATCATAACATCAAAAGTAACATAAATAATTTTTAATTGTTTTTAATAGATAAACCATCCCTTAAAACATTCATCGTATTGTCAGTCTCGTTCGCCGTATCTGACATACTTATTACCAATATGAATGAAGGCGAAAACAGAAGCTACGTCACTGATATATATATCAAATGGCAGACAGAAAGATCTGTCTTGTTCCCATTCTCTCTGCCTTTTCATTCTTTTTTTTTGTTTCAAAAAGAATTCTATCAGGATGGTTCTTTAGCTGAATCCATTTTCCATTTTTTTTCAGACAAAATGCAATCTTCTGCCAACGATTTTTGGCCAACAACCAATTGAGTATGATGATGTTTTATCGGAGATATTCGAATTAAGGAAACAAGGTAGTTTAGAGGTGGGTAGTAGAGGTAGAAAAAAAAGAATTTTTCTTTGATAATGGAAATGGTGTTCAACGCAACAAACAATGGTACATTTTGAACTTCGCTCTCGTAGTCTTCAATTGTCTAAGACAGAATGAGAGGATTAGAGACCATGCATTGTCAATGAATTAATATTCCACAAACAATATGCAACACAAAATTATGTTTCATCATTCATTTTCTTATTTCAAGTTTGGTGTATCATATGAGGCTAAGAACAACTTTTATACTCTACGCAGCCAACCAAATCCAACTGCTGGATACTTATGTCAAGTAGGTGTGTGGACATCACTGTACATAAAATGAAAAACATAACTTAAAGATTTACCGAATTCAAATTGTCCTAATAGCAATTGGGTATATTTCGGGAGTTCATGCTACTTGCCGGTTAATGAACGACTAAGCGCTGGGGAAGCTCAAGAATATTGTGCTGTCCGTGATGCTTACCTTCCTCTAATTATGTCAGATCGTGAAAATCGATTCCTAGCTCGTATGTGTCTTAGAAAGTCATCATCATGCATGTATGATTTATTTAAGAATTGGCTAATGAGAAGTTTACGAATTATGACGTCCCAGGTCGTCCCATATGGCTTCCTCTTTTATATGCGCCTTTTAACGCACAAAACTGGAGAAATATCATGACTCAATATAGCATTAGATATCTGAGATGGAAGAATAATTTACTAGGTAATATACGTCACTTGTATTACCCCAATATGCAATTTTATATTTGCAGGAAACGAAATTCAAAGTACTAATGTTAATGAAACAATACCTGCAGTGCTTATGTACACAGACAAATTTCCTCCGCGTACCAATCAACTGGTATTCGGATACTGGGGAATCAGACCAAGAAACGCACAATTTCGCTTTATTTGTCAAAAATCGCTAAATTATAAACCATAATGTTATGATTCAACATATAAACTTAGTGTATCAATGATTTGTTCATTCTCAAAAATGTTGTCTCTGATCATCATAGGAATCTAAAGTAGTACTTCTTACATCATATATTGCGTAGATGAACTGAATACAAACCTATCCTATCCCAATTACGAATTTTCAAATCATCTTTGAATCGAAATAACTTTTTCGCTGATTGTTACAAAGTAAAGCATCAGGGAACCGTTCATAGTCATTCCGGTTTGCCTTATTTGAAAGGTCGGTATAGCGCGATATAAAAGGCTGGGCGGACACTGAATTGAGACATACTCGGCAACAATCATGCGAGGCATCTTCCTTCTTCTCGCTTTGACAGCATTTGTAAGTGCGAGATACGGTATGAACTTTTTAAAAATTTATCTTTTTATTTGTTTTTTGTTTAGTTGTGAAGAGAAATGCTTACGGAGACGAACAAGTCACTCCTGCCCCACAACCAGTGGTTGAAGTCACCGAAGCTGCTCCAGTAGAGGAAGCTCCAGTTGTTGTCCCACAAGAAACCCCAGCTCCAGCCCCAGCTCCAGCTCCAGTCCCAGATTGCAACGTAGCCCCAGCTCCAGTTGCCCCTGAAGCTCCAGCTGTTGTTGACTCTGGATACAGATCTAAGAGAAACGCTTACGGAGATGAACAAGTCACCCCAGCCGCTGAGCCAGTCGTTGAAGTTACTGAAGCCGCTCCAGTAGAGGAAGCTCCAGTCGTTGTTCCACAAGAGACTCCAGCTCCAGCTCCAGTCCCAGATTGCAACGTTGCCCCAGCTCCAGTTGCCCCTGAAGCCCCAGCTGTTGTTGACTCCGGATACAGAGCCAAGAGAAACGCTTATGGAGATGAGCAAGTTACCCCAGCTGCAGAACCAGTTGTTGAAGTTACCGAAGCCGCTCCAGTAGAGGAAGCTCCAGTTGTTGTCCCACAAGAAACCCCAGCTCCAGCTCCAGCTCCAGCTCCAGTCCCAGATTGCAACGTAGCCCCAGCTCCAGCTGCCCCTGAAACCCCAGCTGTTGTTGACTCCGGTTACAGATCCAAGAGAAACGTTTACGGAGATGAGCAAGTCACCCCAGCCCCAGAACCAGTCGTTGAAGCCACTGAAGCCGCTCCAGTAGAGGAAGCTCCAGTCGTTGTTCCACAAGAAACCCCAGCTCCAGCTCCAGTCCCAGACTGCAACGTTGCCCCAGCTCCAGCTGCCACCGAAGCCCCAGCTGTTGAGGAATCAGGATACAGAAGCTGAATGTTCAACCGTTTGTTCGTATCTCAAAATAATCAGGTTTCCTATACTGTGTAAGCTCAAAGCGTAATAATAAAACTTTAAAATCTTGTCTGTACACTTCTTCTTCTGAACATAACAACATGACTCCATAAGTGAAAAGGTTTATTTAGAAAAATAAATTAAGAAATAAATTACTATGACCTAATATCCAGAGTTTTCAACTGGAGCTTGTGTAGAGCCATATCCCTGGTCGACAGGTGCATCAGTAATCTCAGGAGGTGCGTCTGTGGCGTATCCGTCATCAGTAGGAGCTGGGGTAACTTCCTCATCGTTGTACTCGCGCTTGGCTCTGTATCCAGCTGGTGAGACTGGTGGTTGAGTCTCTCCGTAGCCATTATCGACTGGGGCTTCGGTTACCTCAACTGGTGGCTCGTATCCATCAGTAGCTGGGGCTGGGGTTACTTCCTCATCGTTATATTCACGCTTGGCTCTGTATCCAGCTGGTGAGACTGGTGGTTGAGTCTCTCCATATCCATTATCAACTGGAGCTTCGGTAACCTCAACTGGTGGCTCATATCCATCAGTGGCTGGGGCTGGAGTTACTTCCTCATCGTTGTATTCACGCTTGGCTCTGTATCCAGCTGGTGAGACTGGTGGTTGGGTCTCTCCGTATCCATTATCAACTGGGGCTTCGGTTACCTCAACTGGTGGCTCGTATCCATCAGTGGCTGGGGCTGGAGTTACTTCCTCATCATTGTACTCGCGCTTGGCTCTATATCCGGCTGGTGAAACTGGTGGTTGTGTCTCTCCGTATCCATTATCAACTGGGGCTTCGGTAACCTCAACTGGTGGCTCGTATCCATCAGTGGCTGGGGCTGGAGTTACTTCCTCATCATTGTACTCGCGCTTGGCTCTGTATCCAGCTGGTGAGACTGGTGGTTGAGTCTCTCCGTATCCATTATCAACTGGGGCTTCAGTAACTTCAACTGGTGGCTCGTATCCGTCAGTGGCTGGGGCTGGGGTAACTTCCTCATCATTGTATTCACGCTTGGCTCTGTATCCAGCTGGTGATACTGGTGGTTGAGTCTCTCCATATCCATTGTCAACTGG